AGCCTCCAACACCAATCACTCTTTTTTCATCAAAATTCTCTATGGCTTGTTGCAATTCACTGAAGGGGAAGAACCGTTCAGACCCTCTTGGGGAGTGGTAACCAAAGTGACCGTGCTTGCTTTTGTGGGAACCAAATGTGCTTAAGCTTTGAGAACTGCTTTTCCTTAAGAATAATCTAGTTCCACAGCTTGAATGGAAAAGAATGAGCCATGATGAGAAGTTGTTATGTTCTTCCCATCCTTGAGGTCTTCTTTGCCATCGAATACAAATCACTGCTAGTAATAGTGTTGCTGTCACAACCAATCTCAAGCCAACAATGGAAATTATTTTCGATGCCTTGGTTGTTGAACTTGGTCCTTTGTATTTCCCATCAACAAAGAAGCAATCGTCCAAGCTATCATCAGAGTTGTTCATCTTCATCACCTCAATTCCATTCAGAATTGCATTGCCCATTCCTTGTTGTAGATTAGCTGGTCTCATAGATATAAGGTATATTTTGATGATAACAAAGTGATAACAACAAAAAGAGAAGAACATTGATCAAGAGCAAAAAAATCAACCATATGTGAATATTGGAGATGTGTGATATAGTCACACAAGAAGAGTAATGACATATCAAAGTGACAAGATCATTGGATCGAAAGTAACAGGGAAGAAGAACAACACCAAGATCAAAGACAACAAATAATGGACAGCATCTAAGAAAAGCTCAATATCACAACCATGGTGAAAAATGATTAAAACCAACAAAGTGTCAAGTATTGTCATATCCAACAAGTCAAACCATTAAACTCAAGTGAATATCCAAGACGCAAGACATAAAGCTAAGTCTAAAATCATATTTAGAATATATCTTTAGGACTTAAACTCATATGTAAAGGTATATGGTAGATTGCATTGCATGAGCTCAAAGTTTTTCTCAAAGTAAACATATTTTTCAAATTGCATAATCCATAACCTTTATATACTTGAAAGAAATTTGAAAAATCCATGGAAAAGATCATTGACATGTTTTACAACTTCAAAACATATTTATCAAATCAAGATATTTCATAAAAAGTTGTTGGAAACAAGCTAGAACATATTTGAACTTAAAATTTACTGCATAATTTGGCTTCTGTCTTTTGGATTTTTTTTTCATATCCAAGATGATAGATTTTGATCTTGTGTTCTTCAGAGAAGTTGTATATCTCTCATCTTTTCAACGAGACCAAGATCACATCAATCCGATAAGAATAACTCAAGTTATGTCTAAAATGCAAAATAATATTTTTGCTGTCAAGTTTCCAACCTTTACAGGGTTGGAAATCGATTTCCTCTGCAACAAAACAGTTATAACGGCTAGCTTTGGGTAAAATCACTTTATATAATTCCCCACGGCCCTAAAACTGATTGATCACTATTCTTACACATCTTAAGGATTACTTGAGAGCTTTTACACTATCATTTGCATATTCTTTCATATATTTCAATGATCAAACACATTTGAGCTCATATTGTCAAAATCCATATACTTATAGTGCTTCAAGTTGTATATCTACACTTTGAGAGTGTATATTTATTTTCAAACACTTCCTTCTTGTATTTTTGAGTTGAAAGGATGTGAGACCCATTGTATTTGAGAGGTCACCAAATACCTAAGTAAATTTGGAGTGAAATTATAAGGCATCCAAAAGTCTGAAGTCTTAGAAGATTGTAAAGTATCCCAGAGTTCGAAGTCTTAGAAGATTGTAGCAGTTTGTTAAGCACCCTTGAAGCTTGACCGTTAGTGAAAGACTTGATCGAGCGGCTTCAGTCTGGACATAGGTCACAAGTGGTGGTGACCGAATCATGACATATTGTGTTTTCAATATTCTAATCTCTAAAATCTAAACTTGTTATTGCTAGAACTTTAATTATTTCCTTGATATCTTGTATGTGCTAACTTAGGTTCTATATTTGTAATATATTATATGTTATGAATTTTTTAATGTATTGATTAGCTTTTCGCATATCATAGTTTACTTGAAATGATTATTTAGAAACTAGAAGGGGTTTTTGCAAAAAAATTATAATACTCAATTCACCCCTTATCTTGAGTATGGAAGCCACATTCCTAACAGGTCCTACTTGAACCAAGATGGAATTGTTTGTGATAGCAGATTCACTAAGCACAAAGTCTTTGCAAAATACATGGCTAAAGCTTTTGTTATGAGATATAATGGAAGGGATTAATGTTTCTCACATTGTATGAGATAATTTTATCTCTTACACACACGTAAAAATATATGGGATTCATATGGGGCCGTATGAAGAGAAAAGAGAAAAAAAATGGACTCTACATGCTTTTATGTGTATGTATGAGAAATACTAATCCCACAGTGGAATTGATAAAATAAATGATTAATAAGCAGTAGTTTTTCAATATTACGGATATACTTACAACCAATCCAAAAAGGGAAACATTTAGGGATTAAAAAAAGAGATTTATTAATCTCCATTAATAGAAGACAACTTACATCATGCCATAGAAATAAATTATGTGGGATCCATCATTTTTAAAAAAAATAAAAAGAAATAACACAATTTTCTATGTCTCACTAGCATAAGATAATTGTCTCCTACAAAAGGAGACAATTTAAACCCTTAAAAAAATACAAATAAACATTTGGATTCAAATATAAGAAAGAATAAATACCCTTTTGAGTCCATGGCAATATTCACGAAGCCCTTTTCAAAAAAGAGGCCACGTTTATCCTTTCTTTAACTCCCACCTAACGACCCAACTAACGGTGCACAGTTGGCACGTTGGTTTGCTGACGCGGCTTGGATGTGGGACACCGTGGAAGACGAGACGACGACGTTTTGGTCTCTGTCAAAACCACGAGGGCCATTTTGATCCCTGTCAAAATGCACGAAGACGTTTTTAGTCCCTGACAAAAAGCACGGGGCCCTTATTAGTCCCTAACCAGAGAAAAATAGGCACATGACTTCATTGCTTTTCTATGCAGTCCAATTTTCCAAAACAGAAGTGCATTACATCAGAAACAGGAGTGCAATCCATTTGTTCATCACAAAGTAATTAAACTAAATTTCATCACAAAGTAAAATACTCCTTCTTGGTATTTTACTTCAATGAAGTTTGTGTTTCTAACTGAAGTTTCGACCTTATTAACGATTATTCATTTCTTTTTCAATGCTAATTAAGCTTCTCACTTTGTTAAAAGGGATTCTTGGCTCTTGCAAACATCTTTTACGATCCCTAGAATATTATGAAGTGCTTTAATTCTCTTAGTCTGTATAAGACATAGCGTTATGCGATTTATGAACAATATCTTCAGTAGTGTAGATTACAATTATAATTTTTATTTTTCTATAAAAAATAATTGCATGATTGTTGATATTTAAATACAGAGAAGAAGCCAGGTAAATGATTGTTGATAATTGCAATGCATGGCAGTTGGTAGTTCTCAGCCACATGAAGGCAACTTGAGAGGAAACAACCCACCTCCATCAAATCCACAACAGGCAAATGAGCTGTTGAGTAATGAAACAATGAATGCAGCAACCAGTGGCACACGAAGCAGATTATTGGCCTTCATGAGCACACCTGGTTTTAGGCCACCAAGGCCTGCCTCAAGAAAATGACCCGCTGTTGTATAAGACCTAGGAGTAGTGCATGAGCCAACCGAGAAGGGTTTATTATTACGTGACTGACTTTTTTTGAAAATTCTGGCCATTATGTATTTGGAGGCCTTATTATGTCAATGTTTTTTTTTGTAAATTCTGGCCATATTGTATTAGAGGCCTTTCTTTTAATTCCTGGCAGTTGGCTTTATTTTGTAATGCATTATTGTACATCCATGTCTTCAAATATAATGATACTCAAATCATGTTCTAGCTATTATGTTTCACAGGGTTGATGAATGTTTAAGTTTACCAATTTTGATGTTTTTTAACTAATATACGTAGTTGTAGTTCTTGTACATCCATGTCTTCTGGTTTAACAAATTGGACTGCATACAAATTCAATTTAATGTCATGTTCCTGTTTTGCAAAATTGGATTGCACTCCTGTTTCTGATGTAATGCACTTCTGTTTTGCGAAATTGGACTGCGTAGAAAAGCAAGGAAGTCATGTGCCTATTTTTCTCTGGTTAGGGACCAATAAGGGCTTCGTGCTTTTTGTCAGGGACTAAAAACGTCCTCGTGCATTTTGACAGGGACCAAAATGGCCCTCATGATTTTGACAGGGACCAAAACATCGTCGTCTCGTCTTCCACGGTGTCCCACATCCAAGCCGCGTCAGCAAACTAACGTACCAACTGTGCACCGTTAGTTGGGAGTTAATAGAAGGATGAACATAGCCTCTTTTTTGTTATTTCAAGGACCAATTTGTCCCTTTTTTATTGCTAGGGACTGAAAAGGACTCCGTGGATATTGTCAGGGACTAAAAAGTGTATTTACTCTATACAAAAACTTTCTCTATTAAAAAAAAAAAAAAAAAAAGCATCGACTTGGATACTCATCTTGCACAGAAAAAAATTTCATGAATCATAGCGAGTTATGCGTTGGACCTACAAAGTCACTAAGGACGTTTGTCCTAAAATACTTGTCATCAAGGAACAACTGTAAACAGTATAACAACCAATCGGAATCGGTTTAGAAACAATATTATATTTTAGCATGATGAAGATTGGAAAATGGAACATATCTCTGCTTTAAAAATAGGCTAACCCTGATTGACAAATTTCACGATTGCCACAAGATAACCGTAGTTTAAAAAAATTGAAGCAAAATAATTGGCTCTTGATTTCAAGGTGATCGATCACCTGGAAAGACAGTATAAAACATTAATATTATTTGTGTAAAAATTAAATAATTCCTAATAAAGGACCTAAATTTAAGTACATCAATAAAGAATAATTTACTTAAAAATTGCATAATTTTCAACCCAAATAACATTATAAGGTTATCTAAGTTTGAAAGGAAGGCAGAAAATATAGGGGTTAATATTTGATTTTAGGTTAGAAACTAACCCCATGGTCGTTCTAATTGATTTCCTCCAATCTAAAGCAATCCGAGGTAAAGTTGAAGTTGAATGAGTAAAAATGGTGGATAATGATGATTATGTTCTTCCGAATCGCAATTCAAATGATTGTTCAATGGTGGTTATCCACGATAAAAAAGACTATTCTATATTCCCACCAATCAACCACGAAAATCTCCAAATTCTCTCAAATCAGTTCGTCCCACAATCACCTCCTTCATCTTCGTCTTCGTCTTCATCTTCATCTTCCGAATGTTCGTGTTCGACGTTTGATTCTGATTTGAGGGGCCTCTCTTCTTCGTCGTCACCGTTCGATTCACGTGTCCGCAAAGGCCGAGACTTTATCGGGTTGATGAGTGTCAGCCTCGAGATCTTGGGTTCCAAGCTTTTTGCCATGGTTTCCTCGTTCAGGAACCGCGCTTGTGCCGACAGAGGGGCATTTTGGTCAATTGGGGTGCCCGCTGCTGCCATTGTAATGTCGTGCTGGATCATCATGTTGACGAGGAAGAAGAGGAGGAATGAAACTCGTCTCATCAACATCATCAAGGAGAAGGATGGGGTTCGTTCAGTTCCATCGCTTTCTTGCATTTCATGTTTTTTTTTTTTTTTAATGTTCCAGAGAAAATTCGATTTTTAATTACTTGTTGAAGAAATTGCGTTATTAATCTTGGTTTTAGCCTGAGCTGTGATTATTGAAATATTATATTTTGATATATTAGTTAATTAGTGGATGGTTAAGCCTAGACAAGAAGACTGAATGAGACGTGTTACATAGAATAGGTACCTAGCTTGCTGCTATTTTCCTGCATTGATCATGTCATTGTTTTGTACCCTAATTGGTAATCCCATTTAAAAGATTTAGGGTTCAAATCTCATTGCATGTGGTTTGGATAGGATGAAATTAATAAGAAATAATAACATGACCTTGTTTAGCCAAAAGGGGTGATAAAAACTATTTTTTGGTTTTGTTAGGGCGTTCCATTTTGCTTGGCTACGTTATTCTAAGATTGGATGGAGAGTTATGCATGTAGGCATGAATGAGTAATGACCCGCTATTCAACCTAATCATGTCTGTCTTTGTTTGATTTCTATTGATTCATTCACTTGAAGGCTTACATTACTTAGCAGTTTCCTGACTGTCCTCTTTTGTTATGGTGTTTCGTTCACTAACTTGTAGTTTTATTTACAGAGAATTGCCCAACTCTTGCACCAAATTGCACAAATGAATGAAATACTAATAGCTCATCACAAATCTGTGGCTGCAAAAGTGGTGGAATAATTGGCTAAGGATTGTGAATATGGTAGCTATTGTAAGTCACTTTCATAAGGAGCACAGATCAAGAGCTAAGCATTGACTGATAACTATCTTATTCTTCTTCATTCCACTTTGAAATACCTCTACTCACATGTGGATTTGCAATTTGCATGGCTTCTGCAGGTGCTAGTTAGGTTGTAAAGTAACGAAAGAACTAATTGTGATTCTTAGCACATTCTTGTTACAGCAGAGTGATTGAACATGTACTCAGAAGTGGCATCTCAAACCTTATATGAAAGGAAATGCTGACAATGAAGTGTCAACTTTGGGGTTACATCATTAATCTGGCAAGATTAATAGTCCTCAATTCCTCATGGTTCATGAATAACAGTTCAGCAGGGAACCACAAAATTTACACTGGGAAGCTAGCAGAGAACTGTCTAATTGTACTAATGGTTAGTTAACTAGGTTCTTCGTGCTCAGATATTTAGCACACGTTGCATTTGTTCAAGCCCTTGATGTTAATGACTCCGACATGTGTGGTTTAGCTTTTGAAAAGTCTCAAACTACAGTTTTGTAGCTTTTGAAACCCCAAAACCATGATTTAGACAAAAGACTATATTCTTATTAGCATTAAGATTTTGTGATTTAGATTCAGTTCCAACTAATGATGGTAAATTGGGCATACCATTCTCACCGAATAAGAAAACGTATTTTCAATTACTTGTCAATAACCCAAATTTCAACCTGAAAAAAATAATTGTAAAAAACTGAGAATCAAGAGTTTTGTCCTTAAATTGATGCTTACTTTATAATATAAAGGTTCTATCAAAGTTCAAAAAATTTGAGGATCAAATTTAATATCACCACCACTATAAAATTAATTTGAGTATTAATTTGAAAAGCATATCATAGATGAACCAATAACGAGTCATTCAGCGACTTTAAGGAGAGAATTTTTTAATATGCTCTAGGATCAATGTAATCTTTCCATTCAAAAATTGACATCTGTATTAAATTTTTTTTTCTCTCTTCTCAACTTTTTTTCTCTTTCTCTCACCTTAGTTTCATCCAATTTTTTTTACTCCCCAACCACAATAACTTTGCTCCTTAAGGAGTGAGCATCCGCTAATGGTAACAGGCCCATTATTAAGTCTAGATAAATTATCATTGCATCCGCTAATGGTAACAGGCCCATTATTAAGTCTAGATAAATTATCATTAAAAAATTTGTATGATGCTTTCAAAGAATTATCTTTACGCAGACTTTATATTGATTCTCTTAGGTGCTCATAAATGGGAAGAAAAAATAATTGAATGGAAAAAACTTTTCAAGAAATTAAATAATTTATTCTTTATAGTTACAAGCAAAATTTGTCCAGTCCGCAGAAATCCATACTCGGGGAATGAAGGCTGCAGCACCTTACAAAGAAATATGCTGACTTTTAGTATTATGCAACAAAGCAGAGCCTGAAGGAATAAATCTTTGGTGCTACTGTTCTACCTATTTTTATTGATGGAATATACTGAATTTTTAGTGTAACAGTAGCACCAAAAATTTATTCCTCGTGAAGCATGATATTCAAATATCATCTTGCTGTTGCTGTCACTCTGAATACCTCGGTTTTTGGACAAAATAGTGCTGCAGTTCAAACACGTTGGTGCTTGGTAGTTGGTATAGATATTTATCCTCTTGTTACATGTCAAAGCATACTCTAGCATCCTGGATTCACTGTTATCGCCAGGGTAAACATGAATCCAAAAATTGTCCACAGGTCGAAGTTGTATGCCATATATAGAAAGGGTTTACTTCAAACATTAATTTGTGCTAAACTTATTACATTGTCTTGGTTGAAAATCATACCTTTCATTCCTTTGCCTTTTCTTGGAATTAGGAAACACAGTAACACACATTTAAGTTCTGCAGGTCAAATATCAGAGAAACAGAAACAGGTGATCAACTCATGTTACGAATTACAACAAATTCAAGATGAAATGGAAGTATATTACGTTCATGAATTAATGCCCCAAAAGAGAAGTACAAAGGAAGCTCAGTATACAGCAGATCAGTAAATAAAATTTGTTTGCTGATTGCTCAAACATAGTAGAAAGAAGATAACTTACGAAAGAATTCTATCCTAACATTCTCAAAGAAGTACCAAGACAAAAGAACAAGCAGAAGTTACATGTGAAGTGTCACCAAATCGAATTCCACTTCCAATTAATTACTGTCTATATAATTATCACCATCAAACAAGTTTTTTCTCACTAGCTTTTTAATTGACCGCTTTCTGTAGAATGTCTTCGAATATCAAACTGGTCTACAAACTCCAAAGGAGAAACAGTCTCATTTCTGATTCTCTTGATCTTAGGGCTTAACAGACCGCGATGCCTGAACCCATAGAGTTTGAGCACCTGATTATCAGCAAAATTGAAAGCCCTTTCCATGCTACTGAGGCACCTCTCAACAGGATAATCTCCATAGCTTCCACAGGGCTTACACCCCACAAAATGTGTCACAAATGGCCACCTCTCATCCCCTAATCCCGGATGATACTTCTCAATCATCTCTTCATACCGGTCAACCAACCCAGCCCAGTAACCATGCAAATAGAATGAATTCTCAAGAAACACCTTTTCCATCCAACGTTCCTTCTTGCTAAGCAACAAATAAATCAATGCAGATTGATCATCAGCCTCAAATGCCGGTCTCCCCTTCAGGTTGGCCGTCAAAACTTTACCGGCCTCTTCGCGAATGGGACCCTTGGGACCCATGGGAGCCCAAGCATCAAGCAAATCCAAAGACCACTGGCAATTCCTAAAAAGAAAGCTCCCAGTATTCACTGCAATCCAAGACTTTTGCTCAAACAACAAATCAGGGTACCCATGAAGAACCAAATTATACTCATCATACTTAGTCAAGGGAAGCTCAAACACCATATCAGTAAAAAAAGCATCACTATCCATCCACCAAATCCACTCCACCTCAGGGTGTGACAACATCAACCTCCGAATCATAGGCAACTTAGCCCAATAACCAGCAAGCTCCACATCCAGATGAGCCAAATTATACACAATTTCAATCCCATGTAATCTACAGTAATCAATCTTGTTCTTAATTGACTTCAACAAGTAATGATCCCCAATTGGGTTGTCACAGGGCTTCGGTGGGGACCCAGTGAGGAGCAAGATTCGAGCTTTACCTTTGATGTGGTTTGGGTATTCAGGGTTTTGATCGAGCCAGGCCTTGCGCTCTTGGTCCCAATTGGTGATCTTGGGGCCAAGCGTGAAGGTCGCGTTAGGGTTCAGAAGAGTCTCGTCGGCGGGATCGGAGGGGTCGGCGTCGGATCGGATCTCGGCGAGTATTCGGTTGGTCTCTTCGATGAGGTTCTGGTTGACGGCGTCGGCATCGGAGGATCCGAGGTTGACTCCGATGGTGCCGCGGAGTACGAGGATGGTGACGAAGCCGCAGAGGATGGTGATCTTGATGTTGTTGAATGTCTTGTGGATCTGACGGCCACGGGGAAGATTCACACGCCCTCTGCTGTTCGTGGTTGGCAAACTCGCGCTGTTGCTTCTCTTGTGACCTGACACATTCTCTTGCCCCATCTCTCTCTCTCTCTCTCTCTCTCTCTCTCTAACCTTCACTGTGTGGAATTAGAATGATAACCAAAGACAGAAAAAGGGTAAATTACGGTTTGCATACATAATTTTAGGAGCAAGAGGGAGAAAGGAATAAGCTTAACTGTGAGTGAATCAATGAATGAAACAAAGAAGAAGAAGAAAAAAAAAAGGGGGTAATTGGGGTTGGTTAGTTGGATTGGAGGGAAAGAAGATAGGAGTTTGAGACACTGTGAGAGGGAGGTTTAGAAACAAAATCATAAACTTATAAAAGAAAGGGAGAAACGTGTTTTTGAGTTGGGGGGTACCTTTTGCACTTTTAAACATAAGAGAACTGTTTCTCGTTTTAAATGATAAGTTATATCATTTTAGAAGAGAAGAGAGATAGACACAAAAAAAAAAAATTATTATTAAAATTTTAAATTAAAAAAACCACCCACTTTTTCTCTCTTATAATTTTCATTTTTTGTGTTTATCTCTCTCTTAAAATAACATAACTTATGTCATTTAAAATAACAAATACCGAACCTTTTAAATATACTCTTGTTCATGTTAATACACGGTATCAAATGACAGAACTGTGTAATGAATGATTTATTATTCCGAAAAATATTTGTCCTTTTCAAGATCATCATTTTAATTAAAACTAATTTTTTAATTTAAAATTTAAATTAAAAAAATCACATATCTTCTCTTTCATAATTTTTAATATGTTCTCTTACTTAAAAATAATTCCATATTTTTTAAGAAGGGCGCTTGCACATCTTTTTAGGCCGAAATGAAATGGCTGGGGAGAAAAAATATTTTCGATTTTTAGGGTACTACGGGGAACAGATTCAGTGGAGATGGAATGGGGCCTATAGCTTAGAGGATTAGAGCACATGATTACAAACTACGGTGTCGAAGGTTCGAATCCCTCCTCGCCCACAACCAGCCAAAAGGGGAAGGACCCTTCCCTCTGGGGGTAGGAAAATCATGATCGGGCTAGCGGACCCAAAGCTATAGAACTTGGGTGTGGGTATTTTGTCGAAATGGAATAACTTTTTTGGAAAAGGTTATAGTTACTACCTTTTTTTCTTACTACTTGTTACTACCTAATCTTAACTGTTGATTTCTGTCAATCTAACGACTATAATTTATTAAGTCACATTTATTAATTAATTATTAATTCTAATAAATTATAACCGTTAAATTGACGGAAATCAATGGTTAAGATTTGGTAGTGACAAGTAGTAAGAAAAAAAGGTAGTAACTATAACCTCTCCCTTTTTGCAAGAACAAATACCAATATCTTTATTTTTTTTCTTTTATTAAGGGATTTTTTTAATCTTATTTATCTCGTTTTGTTTAATTTTTAAACATAAATTTTTATTTACGTTTGAGATAAAATCACTGAATGAATATATTGAGCATAGACTAGGCCGTACATTGTAATTTTTTGAATGTTAAAAATTAAAAATTAATGTTGTCCTTTTAAAGCACATATAATTATATTATTTTAAATGAGAAAAATTAAACAAATAAAATTATGAGAAAAAGAGTGAGAAGTTTTTTTAATTTAAATTTTAAATAAAAAATACTACTTTTAATTAAAAAAATTTATTCTTTATAGAATAAATATTTTTTGCTAAAAAAATTCTCATTATCAAAAAAACATTTCATTTATACAGAAAGAAAAGTCAATACATTACTTTATACAAGAAGTTAAAGAACAAAAGAGACAAGCAAAAAGACATTTCAGAAGCAAAAAAAAAAAAAAAAAAAGACAAAAGAGACAAGCAAGTTTTAACCACGACATAACAAGTATACGGTTTTGATTTTCTTTCAGTCTTGACATGTAAGAAGGGAATAAATAAATTAAACAAACATTGACTATATGCTTTTTGTTTTGATACATTGACTTTTATATGCTAAATCATAAATATTAGTTTCTGTTAGTAAAACAAAACAAAACAAAAAAACAAAAAGCAGTAAAAACTTAAAAGGGTAGTTTGACCTAACAAACGCAGAATCCAGCTTTAGCCGTTCTGGCAATTGACACTTGGTTGGTTGTATGTGGTCTGTTATGCACTTCGCAATTGAGCTGCTCAGACAACGCGTTTAGATTATTTTATTATTTATTTATTTTTTCTGTCTATTTTTATTTAGTATTTTTTAATATTGTTAAATCAAAATCTTAATTAGAGTGAAAAATAACAAAGGCAATCGAGATTTAGATATATAATATTTAAAGTAATAAGTAAAGATAAATAAAAAATAAATAGAATAATTTATCCTTTTATTTTACGTTATTCTATGGATAGCACACAAGAGTGATCATTTCGTCACTGTTGGCAAAAAAAATTTACCAGACTGTCATTTCAACAGTAAATTTTGTCGAAATGTTACGCTGCACTTTTAGCCGTCGTTGAAGAAGTCTGAAAATAATTAAGAGTTAAGATAAGATAATGCGAATTAGTTATATTTTCAGACTTCTTAAGGGCACAGCGTGACATTTTGACAAAATTTACTATTGACGTGACAGTCTGATAAATTTTTCTGTGAAGTGTGCCAAATAGCACCTTCAAGAAAGAACCATGTACATCAACAAGCAGGCTAACAGGAAGCGCGTGGAATCCACTTGCATGGTAATACTATGTTAGATTGGAGAGTCGGCGAGAAGTATCCAGCATCCAAAGTGGCCCCCACAATATCCCCGTATTCAGACCTTGTCCTTGTCTCTTTCCTCTGCTTAAGTTAACTTATGGCCCATGTGCGGGTTTTCAAGATCTTGCTCTCTGTCCTACTGTACAGTCCTTCCTCGGTATTGTGTAATTCCTTCCTAACAAATTTGAAAATGGATCCTCTAATGCTTCAACGTGAAAAAAAAAAAAATATATGATATGATCATGTAATCACAATCATATAAAAGTAAATTAACGATTATAATTTTGTAATTACTTATTTTAATATATTTTCTCTCCCTTTCTTTATTATCATTGATCTACCTTTGTATGATTATGACATAATCATGTAATTTTTCACAGATCCAACAAATTTACAATATTATTTTCCACCAACAAAACAAAATTACGTGAGCCTGCTTAGATAGATCTGGAGGTACCCGTTTGGCCGTTCCAGACAGTGACTAATGACTATGCTGTAAATATCAATATAATGAGTTGGCATATTACAAGATGCTACTCTATCAATAAAGAGATACAATAGGAGACGATAAAATAAAAATGTTACGTTTTGTTATTTTTATTATTTTTTGAATTGTTGAATTATTTAAAGAGTGGTTAGTTATTAGAATTTCAATTTTCTTAAGGGATATACTATAACTAAGTGGAGCCTATATAGTGTTAGTGAGTAGTTATTTTTAAGATTGTTTCGTACTGTCTATTTAAATCTTGAAATATTTGAATAAATATAATCAGAAAAAGAAGGATTATCTGTGTACACTTATTTGTGTACTTGATGCAGGATTCCCTAGTTAAACTCAAATCTCCTATTTTCTTTTCTTCAAAAATAGGTGTACGGAAAAATTGATATCAGAGCTAGACATCAGACATGGAGAAACGATTGGAAAAACTATAAGATGCAGTTCAGATACTCTCCATTCAATTAAATGAGATGTTTATCAAACTCTCCAATTAGCTAAATGCTCTAGTACTAACCACCAAACTCTCTTATTTCCATTATTCCCATTTCATTCTTGATGCTTCCACACTGAAACATTTCTCTCTTTCTATCTCCACCAAACAAGCAACCCCCGTTAAAACTACCATTGTTATTAAATTTTTTTTTTAATGCTGTCAAAGTGTCTCAATCAAACAAGATCCCTCGACCAAGACTACAAATTTTTGGTTTAGACATGAGATATCCAATGAGAAATTCGCTTCTAAAATTCTTTGAGAAGAGGAAAGAAAAAGATGTGCCTAGAGAATATTTTTCAATCAACAGCAATAGAGAGACGAAAATGGATGTTGAAGAATATTCAATTACTTGATCTTACTCTTGAGGACAAGAGCAATTTTTAGGGAGAGAAAATATTACGAGTTTGTTATTTTTATTATTTTATTATCTTCTAAATTGTTGGGTTGTTTAAGTAGTAGTTAGTTATTTGAATTTCAACTTTCTGAAAGGATAGGTCATAATTATTAGTGGAGCCTATCTAGTATTAGTGAGTAATTATTTTTTAGGTTGTCTTGCATTATCTATTTAAATCTTAAAATAGAATTGAATAAAGATGATCAGAAAAGAGGAGAATTAATTTGTAAGCACTTATTTGTGTACTTGAGGTGAGATTCCCTCCATTGAACTCAAATTCCTTATTTTCTTCCAAAATAGATGTATGTACTATCAACCTCCCCCCGTTATTTAACCAGGTTGATCGTAAATTGTCGAATGGCCCAAGGAAACAGTCATAATGCACAGAAAGGTATGACTACCATACGTAAAAGCACAGTAAAATATGAACCGGAACTAACACAGAACAAGATGCAGTTCAACTCAGAAAGATCATAATGATTTTGGTAATACTTGGTATTTAATATGACTATATCATGTGAAATAATGTCAATTGTTTATGGACAAATCAATGAATATCTTTTTGTCAGTCTCTATCCCAACAATTTTTTTTTTTCATATCTTTTATCACCGTTAATTTGTCTATAAGCTGTTAAAATTCTCTTATATGACATGGCCATAAGAAATCGCATGTGAGATAATCAATTCTCAGATTTTTCATGCAAGAAGTTGAATCCAACGACAAAGAGAGCATATAGTTAATAAGCACAAACAAGCAGTAATACATTGTTAAATTGTTCATCAGAGAAAAATGGCAGAAGAGGCTGCAGGAGCAAAAACTACAAAACTTTGCTGCAGAATTTTTTACTTCTTTTTCTTCTTCCTTCCAGCAGATTTTTTTCTCATCTTCATTTTCCCAACAAATTTTCTCATCTTCATTTTCCCGTCTAATTTTGTGACTTTCTGTGGAGACTTGTCAATTAAGCTTTCCTCCATAAGGCTGATTTTTTCTGGCTTTCTAGGTTTGTAAACTTCTGTTATTGAAGGATCCAAAACATCCCTTGAGCACTGAAGAGTGATGCCCATACATGTGGCTTCATCCCAAAGATCTCTTCCCTTTTCAAAATCCCCTCCTCTACAAAGCTTTGGGATGAGCACATCATAAACTGGTCCATAACCTCCCAATGAGCTTCTCTTCATTTTCTCAAACAGTTCAAGAGCATGATTTACCCTTTCAACCCCACAGAGAATACCAATCAAACTGTAGTAAAACTTATGGTTTGGTACCAAACCTTTTCCGATCATTTGATCCACTATCTCTTTCCCTTTACCATATCTGCCACTCAGAAACAGCACCCTTGCCACAAGATAATAGCTGACCCAATCTGGAGCACAACCAGAATTTTCCATTGTTTCAATTATTTGACAAGATTCCTTAACTCTTCTGGTCTTCCCTAGACAAGAAAGCAATATGTTGTAACTGACTGAGGTTGGGAAAACCTTATAAGACCTCATCTCCATCATCACATTTAAAGCTTCAGGCACAAGTCCTGAAGGATTATGTCTAAGATTCCGTTCACAAAGGCACCTGAGGAATGTGTTGTAGCAAATTAAATCTGGGATAACCCCATCTGATTTCATTTCTTGAATAATTCTCCTGGCTTCCTTCACATTCCTCTGCACAGACCACCCATAAAGAAGACTTCTATATATGCAAGGTAATGTGCCTTTAATCTTGTCTTTGTGATGCCAAACTACCCCTTCAGCCCTCTTGGCATGCCCTCTGGAGCAAAGGGCATTAATGATAGCAGTAACTGTAAATTCATCTATAGGGCACTTATACTTGTCTAAGTTCTTGAAAATACCCAATGCCTCATCTTCTTTTCCCAGTTTAACCAAAGTCTCAGCTACAAGACCAAAAGTCTGGGAATCCATGACTCGATCCTCCTTCTTGAGATCTCCAATCAAGATATCCATTGCTGTGTAGTCTTTCTTTTCGGCAAAAACTCGAAGAGCATAATTATAGTCCTTGTCTTCCAACTCATAACTCAAATTCTTACTTGACCATAAGAAGAACCTGAGCAATCTCCTAGTGTGTGCCTCATGCTTACTAGATTCAATAGCCTGAGCTACAAGAGATGAAGTTAAGCAATCTCTAAACTTGTTTAGACTTAACTCCAGATCATCTAGCCCACCAACAGTGCTCAGGACGATACTGCAGAGCTCTTGCAACTGGGGAGGTGCAGATATTGGCGGCAATGTGGAGTAGTGGCAGACTGGAAGTTGTTGGAAATTATGGGCACTCATATTTTGAAGCCAACAGCGTCTCCAAGCAGAGTTCAGCAACACATGCATCTTGAATTTCATTTGAGAAATTCATCAAACATGTAATGTGCATCACTTGTAACTTCAAATCTTTTGACACATGGGCTGTGGGACGTTAAAAGGGAAAGTAAGATGCCGCCATCATATCCAAGAAATCCAAACTTTAAGGATAGGGGACGAACCCCTTGTCTAATTTTTTCTCAAACTTGAAATATTTAGGGTTTAAACTACCAAGTTATGCTTTTTAGGGTTCGATTGAACCGGTGGACAATAAATTGGGAACTATGAATTAGGTATTGGAAGAGCACGAGTCTCAATACTGTGACATATCTACGGCAAATCTTTCCCGGTAATGGAGTTGACGTACGTTTGAATTATTTTATTTTATTTACTGCATTAAAAATAATATTTTAGTAAAAAGTTTTTTTAAAAAATAAATATATAAAAAGGAGTCTATTTCAACAGGGACGTAATTTTTTATCTTCATTGTTGCTCCTCCAATTTTCTTTAATGATTCATGATTTAAACTTGTTTTAATATTGTGCATTTTTTTTTATAGAAACATGAAGGTAGGGGGATTTCAAGTAGGAGCTTCTTAGTGCGGAGTTGTTGAATGTGATTTCTACATATCAATTCTTGAATACTGTTTCTAAAAACAGTTTTTTTTTTATTTTTTTAAAATAAAAAATAAAAAAACTCATTTGATAAGACTTGTATTATAATTTTTTTAAAAAAAATTATAACATTTTTTTTGTTTTTAAAATCAAATTTAAATAACATGTCTTGAGTTATTTTTATTTTGTATTTTGACTTTTAACTTTAAAAAAAAACACAAAACAAATGTTTTCATAACTACTCTAAAAAACAATTTTAAGAATAAAAAAAACTAAAACATAATCAAACAGACCCATAATTTTTTATTTTTTTTTATCATTGCATTGTTTTCTTGTACTTAAAAAATTTAGCATTTTGCAGTACCTACATCCCCAGTTGGCTAAATTTCATGTAGAGTTAACTGCTATTACCAAACCATTTTTGATGTTCTTATGAAAACACTATTGCACTTACTTGATAGTGAATCATCCTTTGACATGCAGAGCATAGTGCAACCTTTACCTTCTATATAACTACTGAATTACCCTAGGATATTAAATGCTTCTCTTTTCAGGTTGATGCCATGCATACCGGAACTGATTGATGCAAATTTGTTGAGGGGGCTTAAGCTAATTTCTTGGCTGCTCGGGAAGAGAAAAGGCTAATAGCCAAACATACTGTCAACTCTTTTTCCACCCTCCCAGTCCCATCTGATATTAATAGGTGTCAATGCTATGCTTCTTGAACTGTAACTAAGCTAATGGCATGTATGATTGTAGAACGTACTGCTTGGGATATCTGAGATCAGGATTGGCTAGTAATATTAGCATACCACCATTTGCCTTTTATCTCATCTTCAATGACTTCTATGGTGTTATGTGCTTTGCATCTGCAAAGAGTTTCCTGCATTAGTATTCTTTCCATAACCCAATTGCTTGATTCAGTTTTGCTGAAAAATTTCAAACCCGTTAAAATTTCAAGAATGAAGTTTCCGTATTTCGAGACCACCAATCTGACCCTTAATTGTTGTATATTATGCCTTAACTCAAATGTTTATTTTCGATCATCTCCAATACTAACTTTGTCCCGACCGATTCATTTAATCGTTTCTCTGGATAGATAGAAAAAAGCTACAGCTTTACATGTAATCAGATTACTAAAACTAAACAGTATTAGAGAAATAATTACCCAGTTACTCTGAACCTTGAGTTTTACCACTCTAAAATAGTTTAATAGCACAAAACTTCGTACAAAGAAAATTGAAGGAAAATGCTCCAGCTGGTTGTGAAAATTGTTTGACAGTAAATCTCAGACAATATAACTCATTTCTTGAGAGAATACAAAGGTTTATGACATTTACTCCATAATTATAAGCACAACCTGCTTCAAACAGTTTCAATTAAACAAAAGTGTGATACCTTATTCACAATGGCCTTCTAGCTCAGGAAGATGAATCACTTAAGGAAGTGAAATTCAAAAAAGACCGAGCAAGAGTTTGTTATAACCCCAAATGATAAGGGTGTACACCGGAATTGGATCAGCTTCCATGACAAACCGAGTTCACAAGCTCATCAATTAATGCTGACACAATAATTTTCCAACAGAGCAAGGAACAGTACCAAGTCCTCACCGTGACAATTTTAGTGCAGTAAGGATTTTATTGGCCATTCACCCTTTGTTCAAAGAAGCAATTTGACATTCTAAAGCATCCTAGGCAGGGTTGTCTTCTTCATCTTCATCATCATTATCATAATCAGTGGAAGCAGGCTGTCCATTAAGATCCACGTTAACATCATTCAACTTTCTGACAAACTGTCCCCTCACACGAGGTCGCCTTTCAGCAAGTTGTTTCCTATTGACATACCTAATTTTCTTGTCAAAACAGCGCTCTTTCCTTTTCTGTCTAAACTTCATCAATGCTGCTTGTCTCCCATCAAATTTCCTTGATTTTACTTCGCATGAACTTGAACTTCCTAACGGTGACCATGAATGAGCTCGGGAAATCTCACCAGCTTGTAAGCAAATATTCATTGGATAATATGGGATGGATGTCATCCCAGTTGCATGAGGAAAACATTGGGGAAGATGATTGTACTGTGCAATCATAGATGAATTAGCATGACTCTGCAGGTCCTGGATATTCTTTTGATATAATTGCGCTGACGATGGCATCATAACTTGATTAACAACTCCTGAAAGATAATATGGATAAGCATGTTGGGAAGGCATGCCAGATGCATCAAGCTCAGAACCTCGACTTCTATTTCTTGGATTCACCACACCCTGAGGAAGTTCTTCCTTGTAATGATTTTGCCGTGAAACATCTCTTGATGCAGGCGGAGTGCAAGATTTCTCATTAGAGAAAGAATCAGGGACACTATTGCTGCTGGGTAAGTCATCTTGTGAATGGCTTTCAAAGGTTACTCCATCTTCGTGTGGTTGAAGGTCATTAACCCTGTATTGAGCACATGCTTGATTCTTATCTTCCACCATCCCTTGTGTAGTTGCATTATTGCCAACATGAGAAATCATTTCAAAGTTGCTATTCGGCAATGGAGCTTTGACATAAGTGATAAAGGCCGATGACTCTCCAATTCTTAGTTCACTCTTCTTTGGAGCAGATGAGAAATGACCTACAACAAAATTATGGAAAATCAGAGAGAAAATAATAAAAAATACTCCCATCAGTCAATTTTATTCAACTTCAGGAACTCAAATATCCTTCAAGACTGAAATCATTTTCAGAATTATAGCAATGGAGCTATAGAAGACAAAATATGATGTGAAAACTAGCATCAGTAATTCTGTTCCATGATGGATGCTGCTAGTACTTATAAGTAACACTAAAGCATGAAAAAATGTGCTTTAATTTTCTTGAAATTGGAGAGAAGATATGTAGACCAAAATTGGCAAAAAGAAGGTGAGGAAAGATAGGAAAAACAAAAGTTTATAATAATTTATGACATTTTATGGCATTCAAACAACTCCTATACAATCATAATAAGTAGCCAGTTGGGCATTACATTGCATGATGCCCAAAAGTTTAAACTTGTAAGTGATGTCTACATTAATGGTTCTATATTGGACTTTTCTAACACATCCCCTTACACAAGAGTCAATTGGGTATGGAAGGTGGATAATGCACAGCCCACCTACCTATGCTAAGAAATTTCCCAATTAAATATATATCAAAAGAATGAGGGGTGGTAAAGATCGGACTCATAATCACTTAATCACAAGCTCTGATACCATGTAATGCACCAATTAAATCCAGTAACTTAAGCTTGTAAGTAATGTCTACATTAATAGTTTTATACTAGACTTCTCTAATTATGATGATGCACAAAATTATTATGTAATTTCATATCTTAGAAAATAACAATTGAAGGAAAAAGAGGAGCACACCTGTTCGGCGATCACTAATTCCAGGCACATCAGGCTGACATTCGGATACATGAGCATCTGGAAGCTCCTCAGTAACAATAATATCTGCGGCAATACTAGCCTGAAAAGATAAATAATTTACAGTAATTATAATGTATCATGAAATTACAACATATCTGATCTGCATTTAGTACCAGCAAATCAGTCAGGTCATGTCTTAAACACCACTAGCTGGCCCAATACGCATAAGAGAGATGCTAGATCTGCACCCATTTACAGATTGCCAAAAACCCACATCCTCCCTTTCTCCACTACTGGATCTGTGTAAGGGTCACATCAACACTTTTCTACACACATCCATACATAATCCAAAGGCTCTACCTAGTTGTTGCTTTTCCTGTCTTCAATTTTTGTGAATAGCAATTTTCAGAGTATTACTTAGTAACTTCCTTATAGTTTTGTTATTGGTTTCCATGCACATGTTGTTCAAAATTTATTTAGGTTACCATTTTATTTATGGGTTTTATAAGAGTTATGTTGTAGGAAAGATGATTGTGTTATGTTATAGAGATTCGTTTTGCATGCCGTAGTTGTTTTTTTTTTAAAACATGCGGGTCCCACAAAATGTTGTGTGTGTAGGAAATTTTTTGTGGTTATGTTAAATGATAGATATAAACCCCTTTATTTATTACTTACATCTGAAATGTAGTTTGAGATTTTATTTAAAAATGAACCACGATTCATTTATGCTTACTCAATTTTTTACCTACGACTTCTATGGATTTAAATGCAATCTCTATAGTACCATAAGATTTGATATCTCCTTTTTCATTCGAAGGAAATATGAAAATAAGAAGCATGCCAATATCAAAGTCTACACTCTGAAATGTAGAATAATATGTAAGGTTAGCTCAATGTTAATTAAAAAAAAAAAACTTTATATTATCAACTCAATTTCAAGCTTCACCATGGTGCATAAGCTCATTAGTTTCTGATCATATTGAACCCATCGCTTACTTTCATTCTTTTATTACTTAAGTACTGTTTATCTAACATTCACCTCTTGTTCTTGTTGGATTGATATTTCTTCCTCCGGATTAGTGCTTCTTTTGGACTTATCATCTATGTCATCAGAAAACAAGGTGGTACTATTTGTATTGGCATCACTTGGGTCCGATGCTACCAGATCAAAGTCATAATTCAAGATGCTGTTCTCTGCAAGTCCAATCTGCCAGAATAGATACAAACAACCATTTCAATTTCGATTTGAGAAGATCTAGGCTGTGCACTGGAAAATTTAGAGAAAAGTTTCATATGCAATGGAGATATGCAGATGAACATGCACAGTGAAGAATCAAGCTAGAGTAACGGGGAGAGGGTGGTTCAACATTCTATTTTCCATTTATGGTTTTTCCATGTAAAGTTGTGTTTATGGAAGAAGTCTCTTGTTAATCAAAGGTGGATTCCTTCCCATTTTCCACATTCTTCACATATGATGAAGCCATGTAACATTTTTCTTCATAAGAAATGAAACTACTAATCAATGTCTATTAGATGTAACGATCACAAAGCTCATACCTCTTTATGAGTCAATAACTAATTTACTAATATTGTGGGCATGTCCTGTTTAGTATACCTTAAGTTAAAGGTAATATAAATGCTTTTAGTAATAGCCCCCCTACCCCGCTTCCATAAACAAAACAAAAAAAAAACCACTCCCTGTTAAACCCAACTAGCGAGTGTGGGGTGGAGGAAATCCTTGTATGCAGCCTTACCCTTGCATAATTGCAAAGATGCTGTTTCCTGAATTCGAACCCATGACCTTTCAGTCATGAAGGAACAGTTTTACCACTGCTCTGATTTGCCCCCTTCCACTTCCATAAACAAAATACAAAAAAAAATACTTTTGGCCATACATAGTTTCAGAAAGCTGTCTGGCTTAGCTCTAGCACAGGACAAGTAGGCAGCCTTATATTCGCCTGTGGTGCGGCGCCTACAGAATCTTAAGCTCATTAAAGTATATTTTAATTTAATGTATAATATCTTACTTTTAAACACTAATTAAAGGTTATTCACTTGTCATTCAAACTCTGGCTTAAGTCAGGTTCTTAACAGACGAAACCACTCCCAAATTATACCCCAATTAATGAGGGTAGGGGTGGGGCAATCTTTATATACAGTCTTATACTTCATATTTGCAAAGAGACTATTTTCATATTTGAACCCATGACCTTTCAGTCATAAAGAAGCAACTTTACCACTACTGGAGGCTCACCCTCTTCACGGACTGATTTTTTTAATTTAATGGACACGATGGTTTTACAACAAAAGTTGACAAGCACCTCTATTTCATGCTTGAAGTCCACAGGTATATTAGTCCTCGGCATTCGTATTAAATTGCCTAAAGTTTAAGGACAGGTGAAAAACTAATAATAGTATTAGTATGAATGCACACAATGTAAGGAACAACCATAAATATGAAGTTGAGTAAAACATACCATGCGTCTCCTTCTCCACATGTGCGTCCACAAATTTAATAGTTCATTAGAGCCTAACGGCTTTACTAGATAGTCTGCTGCTCCAAGTCTCAAGCACTTGACAACAATAGATACTTCATCTTGTGCAGACATCACTTAACCAAAAAAAAAAACATTGATGAGGAAAAGAATATGATTTGCCTAAAATAAAGAACCAAAGCTTACTTATAACAGGGATTCGGCTGAATTCTTTATCTCGTGCTATGAACTTCAACATCTTCATGCCTTTCTTTATTGGAAGGTCAACTTCAGCTAGTATGATATCTATAAATTGCCCTTCTGCATTCAGCGCATCAATTACTTGCCTTGGTGACCTTACCGAAGTAACTGTTTAAGCATTAAAAATCCACAGGTTTACTTATCTCAAAAGAGAGCATTGGAGGAATTTCAAAAGCTTTAAATCATACAAGACAAACTGCATTCCACACAAGGAATAGAAAGCACTTTAATGAAATCATAACATTTAGAGGAATTTTCATTCATACAAGTCTAGAAGGAAGGAGTAAAGCGGATGGCACTAGAGTGCAGAATCCTGCACATGCTCATACTTACAAGCTCTATTTCATGAAAGATAAAATTGAACCTCAAAACCATGAACACCCGAGGAAAATCAACACTAGTCATGTCAACGTTTCTAAAAGCTGCAGCAAGCAACTCCTTCACATAGACTTAATTAAGTCTAGCTTATGGAAGCTAAACATGCCTCTTGGAATCATCTTTCTTGTTCATCTTGAACAAATGAGCATTAGCCTCATAATGAAAAAGAAAAAATGATAAACGAGCACAAGTATTAGATAGAGAACAGAAATTGGGTTTCAAAATGAATGGAAGAAGCAAGTGGATTCAATAACCAAAAAAAAGTCATCAGACTTGAAACTGTTATTACCCTGATAAGAGCATCTCAAAAGAAGAGTAACAACCTCTTCGGAACTCTTTGAATCATTATCGCATAACAAAATCCGAACTTTGCTTCTGTCAACGAAACCATCACCACTCTTGCTATTATTTCCACCACAATTACTCTTTTTGTTGCTCAGATTTATTAGTTCTTCAGACTCCATAGCAACAACCACTACTATGCCCGATGTTGTCAAAAAAACAACCTAATCTCCATACAAAATCAAATCTTGTTCACATTTCACACACACCCAATAGGAATCGATCAAATTTCAACACCTATATCATACTATTTCACAAAACTCAGGCGTCAACCCATCGGACGGTGGTTGAACAACCAGTGTGGGCACAACAACATCCGACGGCTGGGAGAGAAGGGGGCGCATGTTAGCAGAGCTCACAAAAAAATGAAACTTTTTTTAAACCCAGTGAGTCAGAATCAATAAATGGGGAAATGAAAAACCAATCGTCAAGCGCTTTTGTGATTGCAATAGCAAAATCCGCACAAGGATACTAACGTGCACCGAAAAAGGCAATAGAATGGAGTTGTCGTGGACATAGGCCAGAGAGGTGACGTGGAAAGAGAGGGAGAAAAAAAAAAGAAAAAGAGAAATAGAGATAGATAAAAGCTAGAGTAAATACTTTTTTCCTAGCGCTACTCGTTTTAGTTCCTTATAAAAATAAATTAGTCAATTAGTCTCTAACAAATTCAAAGTGGATTCATTTAATTGAAATCGTAATTCCTCACAAATTCAAAAGATCCATATTAATCTCTCAAAAGAACTAAAATGAGTCCACTTTAAATTTATTAAAAATTAATTGAATAATTTATTTTTGTGAAAAACTAAATTAGAGACCATATTTTTTTCTTACGGATCAAAAAAGTGTTTACAATACACGTCACTCGCAGATCTTTCTGATTCACGAGCCACAACCTAAGCAAAATATCCAATGCCATGCACTCTTTTCAAGCTAGTTTTGCCTTTCAAAGTCTTGCATAACAAGTTTTGACACTGTTCTACCAATTCTTCTATTATGATTTATGCTTTTTTTTTTCTTTCTTAAAAAGTTAATGAATGTTGTGTTTTTTTTTTTATATATCAATCCTAAATGGAACTAATTTTGAGTTGGTTAGAGATTAAGATCTTAGGTTTGGTTCAGGAGAAATTTTGTTTTACTAGAAAAATGTTAATACTGGAGATTTACGAGGAAAGTGAGTTATATAGAAAAGTTTAAAAAATGTTGTTTGGTTAGACAAAATTTTACCAAGAAAATTGAGTTAAATAACTGAATATGTGTTTGGTTGAAGATAAAATATTGATGAAAAAATTTACTAAAATTACAAAAAAAAAAAAACCAAAAGAAATAACCTTGTATTGTCTTAAAACCTATTGAATACGTATTGAAATTACATTCAAGTAACCCAACGGCAATATCACAACGTCTTTGTCTCTGTTTTTATTTGGCATCTCTGTGTCTCTCCCACATTGTCTCCGTTTGTTCCAATTTCAGCTCTACCATCTGAAAATCGCTGGCAAGTCAGAGATACCCCCAAGGTTGGAGATAACGCGATAACGCAAGTGTTGTGCATTGTATAAATCCATATCTAATCAGTCGAATGTGGTAGGTAATCCCAAAGGTGATTCATTGATGGGTCTGCAAAGCCTTAACAAAAAGCTTGCTAGTTCCTCGGCTGATGAACAGGCTAAAGCGGAAGAAGAATTTAAAAAATTCATGTATGGAGCTGCTGACGATGGTAGCAGTAGTGATGAAGAAGGAGTATGAAAATGAGTGATGCTTCAATTGGTTTTAGTTGTCATGCTTCGATTTGGGTTGTAGACGGACCACACCTTTACTTCGATTGTGGCTGTCAAAATGAGTGATGAAACTCTCAACCCTCAACTCACGTGTGGTTAAGATTGGAGGGGTAAACTTGTCATGCTCTTCATCTCATTTTTCAGTTATGTTTTCTATGGGCAATACCACCTTCACAAAGGCTTTCTAAATACTGTTGAAATCCGGATTTCATTTGTTATCATCGATTGCTAGACAAACATCATTGATGGGCAACTGAGATCAAATCCTCCAACCAAACGTGGAGAAGGAACGATCCTGTTCTCACTTTGCTAGGAAAATATTGACTTCTCCCCGACCAAACACAACCTTAAAAATAATATTGATAGATATCAAACTGAGATTCTTCTACCACTTATTCATCTCCCAAAGGTGATTTGATGTACAATACGTGCACCAATTAATGTTGTGTTTGCTTCATGTTATGCTGCCTACTCTATAATAAAACCATGTTATTTCTCTTATTAAGAAATATTATTATTATTATTATTATTATTATTTGGAAAATTATTATAATTATTATTACTTGTGTAACCTAGGCTACAAAGTGGTTTTGTTATAATGTGCAAGTAGGATCATTCATTGTATTTGTACCGCAAGGTACTATAAGCATGATATGTTCCCTTAGTGGGGATGGTTATTGTTGTATCGGTGTCATTGTTGACAGAGGTAGAGATCAAGCTAGACAGCAACGTCCCAAGTATGGAGTCTAAATCACAAGTTGGTTGGGGGGGTGATAGTCAGGACTTATAGGAATGGACAGAGTTACGGTACCTAAGATACCCCATTACCTGGTGATGGAGGGATATTTATAGGAGGAGTAGATGTCCATCTCGCATGAGAGGGTGTGCTGAGTCAACTCTCCTCCGGGGGGGTTGTCTGGGATAGCTGACATTGTTGTGGCGGCAACGATGGAGTATCTACTGGGGTGGTGGCAGTCGAATAAATCTTTGGTACTACTGTTGTACTAAAGATTCAGTGCATCCCACCAATGAAAATATTACATGTCAGCTAAATTTTTTTTCTCTCCTCTGATGTGTACTGCTCTCATTGATGAGATGCACTGAATCTAAATACAACAGTAGTACCAAAGATTTATTCGTGACAGTCACTGCAACCACCTCTGGAGGAGGGAAGTTTCCATTTGGGGGTTTGGGCTGACCCTTCCTCGGAGTGAATATCTCAAGGTAAGATATTTTGGTGACTTACCTTGAGGATGCAGTCGTAGGGACAACAGAAGAGAAGGAGGGTTGGTAGTCACTTGTTAGCAGGGCTGATGTGGACGCAGTGAGAGAGCTTGGGCCTATCTTACTGGGTCGCTTAAGCATGAACCATCCAGAACAGTATTATATGCGTATGTTAGATATGTACTGTTTATATTCCTTTTTCCTTAAAGTTGGCATTTATCGGTAAGAAAAATGTTTTATGCTAAGTTATTTTTTGGTAATATAGATTTTGTTTCTAATAAAAAAATACTTTTCAATGTGATTTGATGTACAATATGTATATGTTTTTATACTAAATTTGTGTATGTTATTCCCTTGATACGAACATGAATAAGGAAATAAACTTACCTCAAATTTGATTTTAATTTTATAGTCATATGAATTATAAGATAATAAAAACATATGAGATTTGTCATATTTTAATAGAATTTAATATTAATTATTTGTTCTTTACATTTGTATACATAAATTTTATGATTGTTTCGAGTACATTTAACATGAGCCACGTGACAAAAATGATTTGATATTATGAAAAATGAATTGACTATTTATTTATTCATTTTTTTCTTAAATTTTAAGCTAATAATATAGTATTATAAAAGATAAGTTATATATATATATATATATATATATATATATATATATATCATGAGATAATGTATTTATTTTAGATAAGTACTGTTATTTATTAAATTAAAATTTTAACATTTTGAATAGTATCTCTTTTGATTTGATCATTTTTATACACATCAAATGATAAATATGTAATTATTTCAAAAATAACAAATAAATTTATATTGAATTATGAAGCACAAAAATATTTTTAGGAATCAAAAAAAATTATGCTATCAAACACTTGCATATATAATACAATACTTTCATGAGTTATTACTCTATTAAAATATAGAATTATGGTGCTCTTTCACCATCTCCTCTGTTATGCCTAAAATACTTACGTCACGTGTCTCTAAGATCGAGTTTTAGTTCATGCATAATTACATTCATGTACTTTATCCAATAAAAAAAACAACAACAACAAAAAACAGAGATAAGCCAAACACTTCAACTTCTTTCCCGAAAGAATGCCTGAAAACATAAGGATTATCGTACATACCCTTATCATGCATGCACATCCGAAAAGAACATAACAAGAAGTTTCTCAAACAAGCATTTTGAGCGAACTGTACTGAAATAGAAATCTACAATACTTTCCTTTGTATGTAATATAAGCGATCGTTAAAATATCAAAAATATATTATATAATATATTTATAATATAAAAAATATATCTTAAAATAATTTAAAATCTGTATATTTAATAATTTATTTCCTTATTTGAAATCTCCTATTAAGTATAAATAAAAAATAAATTTTTTATTATAAAATATCACATCAATATATAATGTTATTCTCTTTATTCTCTCCCTTTCATCTCTCTATACCTAAAATCCGACAATCTCAACAGTATGTACCTTAATCTATTCACCTGCATTTGTAGTAAAAAGCAAGGAGGAAGCCAACCTAATGATCTTAACACACGGCTTGCTAAATACGAATGATAGATTTTTTCCCATTTTTACTTTGTCAAATTAGCAGCATTTTATGAGCAATAGAAAGGATAAATGTTAAACCCGCATTATTGTCATGCAAGGCAAGTGCGCTTACCACTCCCTCTATTTTAAAAAAAAAAATACTCTGAAGTTTTAGTTTGTTTTAAATATTTGTCACTTAAAAAAATAGAGAAAACATTAATTTTGTTTTCTAATTTTACCTTTGTTTAAATTAATAAAATATTTGTCACCAAAGGTAATTTACTTAAATATGGTTAATTTTTTTCTCAAATTAAGAGTATTTAAAGACTTTTTTTTTTTTTAATTATTGTGCAAAACTTTAAACATTAATTATTTTGAGAGAGAGTAAGTATAACTATAAAAGAAGAAATGATGAAAATTTGGGCGTACTTATCTAAAAGGAATGCTAGCGACATTTCACATTTTCCTTTCAAAATATGAAATTTCATCCAATAACAGAGAGTATGTTGAAAAGAAAGGGTCAGGCTAGCTTGCTAATATTTCTCATCCATGTACTTGTTAGGTGGCTTAATAAATAATATGTATAGGTGTTGGTCATTGAAATTAATAATCACACGTTCTTTTTGTATTTAATTCTTTGCCACAGTAAGAGGAAGTTTAGCCTTGTAGTTCAGAGAAGGAGTTTGAGGACATCACAGTGAGTAACAAGAAAATTTAAAGGTATGAACATCAGTTGAAAAACAATTATGAAATGGAACCAACTTTACAACGCAAACAATATTTAACTTGTCAATCCTGATTGTATCAAATTGATGATACTTAATATGCATGTAGCATGTATCCTATGGTTAAATCTCATATTCCTTCTAATTGCAATGAATGATCAATTTTTTGGCAACTAATTTAATCCCTGCATTCTGCTGATAATCATACACATCTAAGGAGAAGAATGCATCAACAAATGTGCCGGGCATGAACAAGGATCCAAGTTCTGCAGCATCAAACTTACTGAAGAGAAGTCTTTGCACAGCGCCAGATGCTGATTCTCTTTGATATATTTCCGTTGCATAAATGGTATTGCTTTCGCATACTGCTGTAGGTATACTGAAATGTAAATGTTACAAATATCAGATAAATTCTCATTGAGAGAAATCTGAAAGGGCTGCATGTCATGCAAATAGCTCAATTTTTTCCCATTTAGGATCACCAAAGCAGAAATTTTTGTATTAATTTCTCTATTCAGTTAATTGTATTCTAGAAGTTATCCCTACTTCATGATTTTAACCAGTAAATATCTCAACATGTCATCTCCCTAGTACAAAATATCGCAGCCTTACCCTTACAAGTGATGCAGTGATTTCTTATGATTCAATAAAACCAGAAGAATGAACAAATAACATATATGTATGCATTCATTTTACATGCTGAAATGAAGCATTCATTTTCATTGATCAAATAACATATATGTATGCATGTGTGTGTACAGGTCAAGAACTTACTGCAATCTGATAGTAGGATACTTGATGAAGCCATCTCTTCTAATAACAACTGGCCTCCAATCAGAGTTGCTACCAGAATCCATGGATAACTTATGTGCAACTCTTTCACATGCATCAAGAACATTACATAAACTTGGTGATGGATCAACCACAAAACTCAACCGTGGCCGGCCAGCATTATCAACAAACTTTGTGCTTATTCCAAACCGTACTTTCAGACCAGTACAATGAAGCTGAAAGAGGAAACCTTCATGCAGTAATTCTATCCTTTGATTGCCGGGATATAATGGAACAAGAGATGCATCAATAGAAGGGATGCATATGTCGTCAGGTACTAAAACAACAATAGAACTGCTGCAAGCCTGAGTCACAGAAGATGAGGAAGATATATCAAGTGACTCTCGGATGGGTTTTTCATCCATGGCAACATCTGACAGAATGGATTCTTTTTTTATTTCATCCCGAAGAGCACTGAAGTTATAAGGATCCGATTGAACTATATTAGGATGTCCAGTATTTGGGGCAGCCCCTTTTGTACTGCTCATCATTGCAAGAGAAAGTATTGGATGATTTTCAGTTGCAGGAGATGATAACAATATAGAATCCTTATTCATATTTAATAAGCTCCCTTCTGATGGAGATTTCCCATTACTACGACTTCTTGTAGTAGCATTTGGTGAAACCCAACTATTTGCAGTGAATATATCTGGAAGACTTGACTCCTGTAAGGACAGAGAGATTATCATTATTTTTATGACTAGTTCTCAACTAACACTGTAAAATACATGATAATATCAGTGAGGAACGCCTTTGAAATTCATATATGTGAAAGATTATACAGATTAAGAAAAAACATTTAATGAAAAAACATTTAATGAAAAACACCAAGAAGTGCTGGGTTATTGTTTCCCAAAACCGCTTTCGGATTATTCAGAAGGTAGTGCAAGTATTGAGGTTCCTCAATCAAACATTTTATAAGTAATGCACTGAAGCTATACAGTGAAACTTGATTTTCAGCCAGACAAGTATTGAGATTCCTCAATCCAACATTTTGTCAGCAATCCACTGAAGCTATCTAGAAAAACTTGATTTTCAGCCAGACTGCCAACAGAATCTTAGCCCTCTCCCCCAACATACATGGCACCAGAATTATAATTAATACGAGTATTCTGCTGGATATGAATTTAATGTAGAGATAGCACAGTGATTATTAACCATAAAATGTACAAATGGGAGATATACGCTCTATTAATGTTGAAAATGAATAAAACTAAATAATTAATTAAAAAAAAGGAAATTAATCAGAACGTTGATGAACAGACATCAAGTTAACAAAAAATTAGGTTCCTACTTTTACTTATGATTTGAAAAAACAAAAACTGCAATAAGTGGTGTTGTATTGCTGAGTAGTTGTAGAAAAAAAACTTAAGGAAGACTTCTTAATTACAAATTACCAAGAATAGAACTGTTGCACAGTATTTGAGGACTTCAAGATTCATCCGAACATCATCTAAGCTCCTGAAGATACGTTGCAGAAAACATTAGCAAAAAGGAATTTACTATAACAAGGTCACAAGAAGGCATGAAATACAATTCCTTGCATTGGTACAGTTACCTATGTGTCTGTCGTCCAAGTCCGAAATAGGTTGCAAGAGTAGCCATCTGTGGTGAATACACGTATGTGTTATAACTCAAAACTTAAAAATAAACTAACCTTCAATCACATAACTGAAAGTTGCAGTGGTTTTGCATTTAAATGGTATACCTAATGAAAGAAGTGCATATAAAAGAATTATGCCATGTTATGTTATGAATGGTACCTTCATGTCACCAGCTCTTCTTCCAAACTTTTGAGTTAACAAAACTAAAGAATCAATAGTACCCTTGGGTTCAGGTGGCGGCTGATTAATCTCAGCAAATGCATCTCTGATCCGAACACAGTCAAATCTTATGATATTGTGACCCGCCCAAATCCGTCCTACACAAAATTCAATCAGTAACCAACATCAAAGACCTTACTTTTGAGCCTTTTTCATTATCATGGGTATTAGTTTATAATTATTGGAATTTCAAACCCAGAGAAGGGGAGCCTTGGCACAACGTTATTATTGTTGCCACGTGACCCAGAAGAAATCACAGGTTCAATTCATGTAATCAACATCTTGCAATTGCAAGGTAAGGCAGTCTACTACAGACTCCAATGATGAGTCTAACCCTTCCCTATACCCTCGAGCTTTATTGGACCATGCCAACATACAGAGTAGATGGGTTTTCCAAAATACTGAATTTCTGTTCTACACAAAATTCAAGCACTAACCAATATCAAAAACCAAACTTTGGAGCCTTTTTATTCATCAAGGTTATTTCTGGATCATAATTGTAATTTCAACATGTTCGATTCATTTAATCAATATTTCGCAATTACAAGGTAGGGTTATAGGTCCATGCTGCCATAGAGGGTAGAGAGTTTTTTAAAATGCTGAATTTCCGTCTTACACCAAATTCAAGCATTATCATCAAAAAACAAACTTTGGAGCCTTTTCATATTTGAAACCCATCTGCAGAGTAGAGGGGTTTTTCAAAATGCTGAATTTCAGTTCTACACAAAATTCAAGCACTAACCAACATAAAAAACCAAACTTTGGAGCTTTTTCATATTCCAAATCCATGTACAGAGGGTAAAGGGGTTTTTCAAAAAAAATGCTGAATTTCCCTTGCAAGACAAAAAAGGAATGAAAACCCAAGATTTTTTGTGGATAAGGGTGAGAAAGAGAAGATGAACAAACCATGAAGAAGGTCATAAACGGCATGGGCGATGTCGGCGAAGGTAGGAGCGGAGGAAACGGCGTCGGCGGTGATGCCGTTGCAACGCTCCGACAAGGGGGAGATGAGAGACATCTCAGCGGGTCGGACCAAGGTGGAGTAGTTTCGGAGCTCCGTCAGCTTCCTGGGGCACACCAAAATGGCTCCGAATTCCAGAATGGCAAAACCCTGACCGGGTCGGGTCGGGACGCTTGTCTCCACGTCGAAGAACACAATATCTGATCGATCTTCATCGGGTCGACCCATTGAGGACTGAAACCAAGTGTTAATGGAACGGAAGAGTGTTAATGAGAATTCAGAAATAACAAGTATTTATTGATTGGTGTTAATGTCTTTACTTGAGCATTTAACGCGCCAACATTCATAGATCCTTTTATAATAATAAAAAGAACTCTCATGTTGTTTTTGTTCTTGTTTTTGGTTTGCTTCATGATTGGGCTCAAACAGGCCCATGACGTGTTTATCAAGTTATTACAAACTCACCCATGAGGTTGAATAAAGGTGCAATCTTGGTATCCCTTTGGCTTTGATGCAATGCAAACCAAAATGGGAAGCAATGCCTGAACCAGCCAAGAAAGTTTTCAGTTTCCAATGAAAGGGTGTCATTGGTAGTTAGTTATTAGTTAATATACTTTGCTTTTTGAAGCAGTTTGGGCTCAAGTTGTGTCTGCATTTGTGCTTTATGGATAGGAAAGTAATCATCAACATGAACGAAACACAATCAAACAAAGCATCAGAACGATCTTTGGCATCACATGAGATAACAGAGATACAGTAATGATGATAGAAACTGCTGAATTTGCACGAAAGTAGATCCGTAAATATTGTAGAAGTTAAATGTGAGATGTGAGACGTGATGAGTCTTGGTAGTTATTTTTAGAACTACCTTTTTTTTAATCACCCATGTATTGTTACGTGTTCTTATATTTTTTTTATTCGGACTTGGCATCAATTTTCACCTACTAAATAGTACTGCATATAAAAATATTTAATGGCAGTCATCATAAATAAACATCAATCAGAGTGTTTTGCAATAGAAACACATTTCAGTAGCCTTATTTTTTTTTGGAGTTACTCAATCCTAATTATCTCTTTGAGACGAGTTGACTCCCTCCGGTATCCCACGAGCTTCGACTCTTTGAGCCGGCTATGGGACTAATCCGGAGTGCTGGGGAACAGTGATGGCTAAAGGTTCAGTCTCCTCCCCAAGAATGCATTCAGCAGGAATCGAACACATATCCAACCTCACTAAAAACAATTTTAAATAAAACAGTTTTAATTCCATGTTTTTAAATAAAACATTCAGATTGCAGTACAATTAAACAATTTAAGTACATAAGCTTCTAATCAACTTCTACAACAATTGATTATTGATAGGTTTATTTGAAGAGTCAACATATATATGATGTGCTATATTGCACTGATACGGGATACGACACATTAATTTTAAAAAATATTAAATTTAATAGGTTATGACACGTTTTAATATTAAATAATATTTTTAATTTATGTAGCATATATTACATTTAATATTCAATAATTTAACAAAAAAATGAAGATAAACTTATAATACTAATTAATTTTGCAAAGAAACATAAGATATTACAAATATTTATATTAAACTCAATAAAATTGTAATTGTAATCCAACTAATCAAATAGTTTGAACTAAAAACATAACGCAACGCAACATAATTTTTGAACCCTTTTCTGAATCTCTGCGATGCGTGTTGAAGTGTCGAGGAGTGTCGGAGAGTGCTGAAAAATATCAACACTACATGTCATATTTTTTGAAGTGTGGGTGCATAGTAGTTCTTTGTATTTGAAATTTCCGGACCCAGGAGTCCATAAATAAAAGTCCCTCTTTCGTCTTAGAGCCCGTTTGGATTGGCTTTTTTTTCTTCAGAAGCTACTTTTTTAAAAAAAAAAACACTTCTCGAAAAAATTCTGTTTGAACGCCTGCTTTTAAAAAAAGCATAAGTCATAAAAAAAGTCAAAAACTTACTTTTTTCAAAAGCTAAAAATTTTAGCTTTTAAAAAAACAAAAGTCAAAAGTCAAATATTTTTTTCAAAAAATAATTTTTTTTTTAAATCCAAATAGCAGTAACTTTTATAAAAAATACTTTTAAAATAAGGAAGTGATAAAAAAGACTTTCTTCGAAAGTCAATACAAACTACTTCTTAGTGAACTTTCTAGTTTATCCACTTGAGATTCACCTAAGGACCTTCAAATCAGCACCAAATCAACATCAAGCTCAAGTACAATTGCCTCAAAATATAGCTCCGATCAGAACCGAATAACACACCTTCCCAACTCATTAGCTTCGACCAAAACCAACCAAAAATCAACCACGTCAAAAGAAGATAGGGTCGTACGTTAATAACTTTTCTTGAACCTTTAGGACATCATAAACCAGCCTAAATGATACCCAAACAGAACCACCTAGAAAAATCACAATGGACAGCGGGCAAGGTAAAGGAAGGATTGAGCTTGTAAGTAGGGCTGTGTATGGGTCAGGTCGGGTCAGATTTTTGTGCCAATTCGACCCCACTTGATTTTTATAGGTCATATATTTTGACCCGATCCGTTTTAATTTGATCCGTCTGGTTTGGTTTGGAATTTTTTGAACTAGTTCAGAATCGGGTCGGATCTGACCTGACTTGTTTTCTGAAATGGGTCTGACTTGGTTTCTGAAGTGGGTCAAATCTGAACTGACCTGTTTTGACTTGGTTTCGTCACAAAATTTCGTCAAAATTTCTACGTTGCAAACGACGAAAATTTCGTCGCGATTATTTTTTCGTCGGAATATTTTTTGTCGAAAAGCGACGGAATTTTTTCTCTAATGAAAATTTTTATAAAAATAAATTTTCTATCGAAATTTAGTTTCCGTCAAAATTTTTGACGAAAATGACTTCCTCCATCAAATGTTTTAAACGAAAAAAGAATTTCGTCAAAAATTTTGACAGAATGTTTTTCGTTCAAAATTTCGACGGAAATGTGTTCTGACAGAAATTTCGACGAAAATTGTTTTGAGGAAAATGTTTCATTAGAAACTTTCGAAAAAATTTAGATTCTCTAAAGAATTTTTGACAAAATATTTTTTGTCAATATTTTTTATCGAAATATTTTTTGACAAAATATTTTACGAAAAATTTTGACAGAAATGTGTTCCGTTGAAAATTTTGATGGAAATATTTTTTACCAAAAAACTTGACAAAAATATTTAGTCGAAAAATATTTATGGAAATGTGTTTTGCTAAAAATTTTGACGAAAATTTTTTTTTTGTCAAAAAGTTTAACGAAAATGTTTCCGTCGAAAAAAAAAAATTCCATCAAATTTTTTTGAGGGAAATGTGTTTCGTCGAAATTTTTGATGAACATGTTTTTTTGTGAAATATTTTGACGAATTTAAATTCCGTAAAAAATTTTGAGAAAACAATTTTTCCGTCAAATTTTTTTATAAAAATGTTTTTAATAACAAATTTTGATGAAAATATTTTCCGTCAAAAATTTTTGCGAAAAATTTTGATGGAAATATTTTCCATAAAAAATTTTGACGTAATTGTTTTACGTTAAAACTTTTCTTTTGATGTAATTGTGAGAGGGATGCTACGGTTGTTCGATTTTCATAAACTGTGAAGCATCAGAGGCTCCGTTTGAGGATTCGGGTGTCGAGAAGAGAGCTCGAGAGCGCCCTGGAACATGGAAGAGAGAGAATGGTGATGGTGTTGGGGTTGTGCTTTCTTCCTTAGGTATTCGAGAAAGTCAAGGGCTTTAGGAATGGAGCCTAAGCGGAGAGTGATCTGAAGGAGATTGTGAGATGAGAGAGGTGAGGTGTTGAAGAGAAAGGGTTGAAGTTGATCATAGTCCCATTGTTTCTTCGGCGGTTTGAGAAGTTCTACGACTTGGGTTACGATCGATTCGACGTCGTCTTGTGAGTGTGAGGGCAAGTCGCTGTGGCTGCGCCGCAGAGAGAAAAGAGTAGAGGGTAGATGATAGCCGCGACGGCGATAGCGGCGGAGGAGTTTTGATTGTGTCAACATTGTTTACAAGGCCGACGGCGGAGGGGGCCGTTAACGGTGGAGAAGTTGCAATGAAGAATCTCACAGAACATGATACAACTAAAAATTTTAAATGATTTATGTAAGGGTTTAATGTTTATGGTTTTGTTGAAGAATTTTTTGACTCCTTATGTAAGGGATTTTTTGGAACATCCATCAAAGTGTCACTCTTTGAAAAAAAAATTATCCAAATGTAACACGAAAAGTACTTTTTACTAGACTGTCATGTGACGTAATTCGCTACGATTGGTAGCGAATTACTTTCGCCAACGATTTCGTGACATATGGCACATTTTCGTAGAAAAAAACTAATTGGACATAATTTGCTACTGGTGGTAGTGAATTTGGTACGCAATGTGGCCACGTGTCACGAAATTATTGGCAAACATAATTCGCTACCAGTCGTAGCGAATTACGTCGCGTGGCAGTCTGCTAAAAAATACTGTTCGAGTGGCATTTGGATAAAAATTTGTCAAAGAGTGAGGCTTTGGTCACTTTTCCAGGTTTTTTGAGGTTTTAATGTATCAATTTGCTCTTTGATTTATGGTATTTATTAAGGGAAAAAGTATCTAATGTTACTTTAGATAACTTTATCTAATGTTCATCAAAATGACATCGTTTTGGGGTTAAAAAATTAAAAAATTAGAATGATAAAAATTATTATAACCCTGAAATAAATTAAAATTACAAAAACACCATGATTTCCGTCCTAAAACGACGTCGTTTCGGTGAACATTAGATAAAGTTATCTAAAGTAACACTAGAAAACACAAACCCATTTATTAATGAGAGTCATTCAGTGTTGCAGGGGACAACGACATTCACACAATTTTTTTCAATTGAATGACGCCCCCACCCCCTTCACCATTTTTTTTCAATTTGGTCTTTGATTTATGGTATTTATTAAGGGAAATATTAATCTCCTTTTACATGAGGTAACTTATCTCATTTTCTCTCACTTCGATTTTCGCACCCCACTTTTTTCTTCTTTTTCTTTTTCTTGTAATGGTGGGACCCACCCATTTTCTCTCTACCACATAAGATAACTATCTTATGTGGAAGGAGATTAATAAAACCCATTTATTAATCATTTTTTTTCAATTTAATCAATTTGCTCTTTGATTGCATGCTTCACAGTTGCAACATGCATTTGGAACACACAGAAGGACATCCCAAAAGAAAGCATGAACCATAAAGGAAGCCACTCACAAAGGGCGAATCTTGGATATCTCAACTCTTATATATAGAATAGAATTCAAACAGAAACCAAAGAAGAGACCCTAACAGCCAGTACAAGAGAATAGGGATTTTGAATAAAGAAACCAGACGGCACAAAGAATGGCTCATCTATTAGTAATGAACTAATTATAATAACTATTTCGGTTTATATGTTACAAGATTTTAAGGAAAAATGTGGTATGTTCACTTTTGTACTATACTAATAAAATGTCAATATTCTCTAATGCCTGCAAAAATTCTGCATCATTTTCATACGCAACATGAGCATAAAATCAAAGTATCAGTGGATGAAATGACGTAATGCATCTGGGTTTTTGTGTGACCGCAAAATTTCCCTTAAGTTAAAAGAAAAATTCTATAGAACAGTAATAAGGCATGCAATGCTATATGGAGCTGAATGTTGGCCAGCATATAAGCAATATGAGCATAAAATAGGAGTAGCAGAGATGAGGATGTTAAGGTGGATGCGTGGTTATATGAGGATAGATAAGATGAGAAATGAAGTTATTCAACGAAAGGTAGGAGCACTACCAGTAGTTGAAAAGACGAGAGAACATAGATTGAGGTAGTTTTGGCACGTAATGAGAAGGCCCCTGGATGCTCCCGTAAGAACAAAAGTTTGTTACCAAGAGCTCAACAAAAAAAAAAAAAAGTAGAGGTAGACTGAAAATTACTTGGGAGAAGGTAGTAAAGCGAGACTTAATGGATTGGAATATAGATTGACGGAGGGTGTGCCTTAGAACGAAATGGAGAAAAGCTATAAGCATGGTGGAGGATTAGACCCGTTGTTATTCCTATGTTCCAGACGATCTCTGTTTAGTTCTTTTTCCTCTTCATCTCCCATCTCTTCTTCTTTCCCCCTTCTTTTATCACTTATATATATATATATATATATATATATATATATATATATATATATATATATTACTATTTTATTTATTTATTTATTTATTTTAACCCTTTCGTATCTTTTATTTGGGTTCATCTACCACCAATTCCAATTAATTTGGGATAAAGGTATTGTTGATGTTGATGTTGATGCTGATGTTGATTTTCATAGACATGGCACGAGAGAAGGAACACTTGTGATACAAGCATTTTTAATCAGGTTGATGGTATAGAATCATCAAGGTGGTGTTTGGTAGGAAGATTTTTTTGAGATGGATGGTGAAGCGAGAGTGGGTATTGTATTATACCATGTTTGGTACAAGTTTTAAAGAAATATGCCCACTAAAATTAGTTGCCCATGATTTGCTAATTGTGTGAAAATTATGTTGAAAACTACTGTTTAGAAATATCACTTTGTAAGTGGTATGTTTGGTTCCCCAGTAAAGCATGCAACTAAGCAATCAACGACAGCAAAAATTCACGAGAAGTGGCATAATTATCAGCAGTAACAATTAGTTGTAGCCTTGTAGGTGTAAGAGACACAAGTTTAAAATAAAAATGTACATAGAACTCACAATAGTATTCATAATTATCTGCATCGAGTTGTGGTATTTACTAAAGACAGATAATATAACTTAATGAGAAATTGGGGGGGGAAATACTGTTGAAAATTCCTCTTCCAAGGTGGTATTTTCAAGTTGCCTAGGCTAATGGGAGAAAGAGGACACATGTGGATGCCAAAAATACCCTCTTCTATTAGACAATAGTATTTGCTACAAGGGTTATTTTGTAATTTGAAGTTATTTCTCCATTTATATTTTACCTCAAACCAAACATAGACTTTATAAATCTTACCTAATTTGCCCGGTAAATTTTTTTCTAACCAAACAATTTTTTTTACATTTTCCTACCAAACTCACTTTCTAACCATTTTCCTATCAATAACATTTCCCTAGTATTCAAAAAAAAATTCCTCAACCAAACGCGCCCCAAAGAAAGTAGTACTGTCACAAGCAATTACTACCATCCGCTTGGAAAAATAGAAATTGGGCACTTGCCATGTGAAAAGATACTAGCCAAAAGTAACTGTAAAACCAAAATGCACGAGGCAAAAATTATGTTATTCTTCTTATACTTTCCATCCCTCAACATCCAAGTAAACCTCTGTTATGTCTGGTTCATAGCCTTCCAGATGGGCTTGCTTGGTGATCTCACAGAGGATTTCATAGATAAAAGGTGAATGCTTATGAGTCATGTCACCCGCCACAAAATTATGGACAACTCCATTAATTTGGATCCAACTTCGGCCTGGAGGCTTTTTCACACCCATCTCAATCATTTTCTGTCTCACAGTAATGACATCCTGCCACCTTTTGGCAAAAGCATATATGTTTGACAAGAGCACAAGATAGCCTGCAGCTTGATCAGCATTGAGCTCAGCTACTAACTCTTTTGCCACTGGTGATGCTAGCTCTGAATTCTTGTGTATTCGACAACCACCAAGAAGGGCACCCCATAATGCATCATTAGGCTTTAAAGGCATAGTTTCAATAAGTCCACGTGCTTCATCTAAGAAACCAGCACGGCTCAAGAGATCAACTATGCATCCGTAGTGTTCAATCCTCGGGCTGATTCCCCAAGTATGGTTCATGGATGCAAAAATTTGGCATCCTTCGTCTACAAATCCTGCATGGCTGCAAGCACAAAGAACTCCAATGAAGGTTATTTCATCAGGTCTTACTTCATTTACACCCACACCATCACTAATCATAGTCTTAAACAGATCAAGGGCTTCCTTCCCGAGGCCCTGTTTTGCAAAAGCTATGATGATGCTAGTCCAAGACACAGTGCTTTTCTGAGGCATCTTGGTAAACACTTGATAAGCTTCATCAATGATTCCACAACTGGCATACATGTGTATGAGTGCATTGTCCAAGCGCACAGAGGGTTGCTGCTGGTTCCTTGCAACAAACGTCCGTTGAACATACCTATGGATCCATCTTCCCAACTTCAGATCCCCTAATTCAGCACATGCTGATAAAGCTGCCACCAATGACACCTGATCCAATTCCACACGAGCTCTCCTCATTTCACCAAACAACAACAAAGCTTGTTTGGACTTCCCATTCTGAGCACACCCAGCAATCATGGTCGTCCAAGACACAACATTCCTATGGGGCATCTCATCAAAAACCCTTCTTGCCCCATCAAAATCACCGCACCTAATATACCCAGCGAGTATAGAATTCCAGCTTACAACACTTCTCTTGCTCATATCATCAAACACATGGCGTGCCTGCACAACACCACCGACCCTCGCATAGAAATTGATCAAATTTGTGTTCACATAAACATTGGAGCAATACCCTTTTACCAAAACTTTCCCGTGCACCTGTTCTCCTTCTCTAATCAACCCACCTCGGGCACAGGCACTCAAGAGAAACGAGAATGTGAACCCATCAGGCTCAGCCTCAGCTGAAACCATCTGATTATAACATTCCACCGATTTCCAATGCATTTGGCTCCTAGCATAGCCTCTGATCATGTGGTTCCAAACGGTGGTACTTGGGTTATCGATATTTGAGAAAAGTTTATGGGCATGTTGGAGATGACCAGAGGCTACGTAGAAAGACAGAAGCTTGGCGAGAATGTTACTCTTCTGAGAGAGACCATTGAGGACTACTTGGCTATGAATTTGAATGAGGTTCTTTATGCTGTTGCAACTCTGCAATAGGGCGAACACGTGCTGTTGAAAACTTCTTTTCCCGCTTGCAGGAACCCAACCTTCAATCAACATCGAACGGAGGTATTCTTATACATTTGTTATTATTTTTGGGTATTCTTATGCGTTTGTTTTTCACCTGGATAATAAACCTGTAGTCCAAGTGTAGAACTGTGTCGGAAATTTTGGCGCTTAACATGTACCAGAATGTAAATTTTTTTTTTTTTTATCTTTTTGGTTGTTGAGAATCAAAAACATGTATTATGTATTTGAAACAACGTGTCATTTTAAATGATGTAAAGTTGTATTAATTAAGAGAGAGTTGATAAAAAAAAATAAAGGTGTGGATCCCACCTCTTCATGAGAGTGAAATGATATAAGTTGTGTCATTTAAAAGAATAAACATTTTTCCTTTATGTATTTATGTTGATTGAAAGACTAGTGATAAAAAAAGAAGGGTAAAATGTGTGTCATTTTAAAGGATATAAAGTTGTGTTATTCTAAGAGAGAGAAAGAGATAGATAAAGGTAGAGAGAGTTGACAAAAAAAAATAAAGGTGTGGGTTCCACCTCTTTATGAGAGTGAAATAATTTAAGTTGTGTCAATTAAAAAATAAACATTTTTTCAAAAAAAAAAAAAAAAAAATGTAAGTGATTTTAAAGTAAATCTCAGAATGGATATTTGAACTTTGCATGTTTTTTTTAATTAACGTGTTAAAGGCCAAAGGACTTTTTACCAACAAAAAAAATGTGTTAAAAGATTAATATAATTGTTCTAGCAGCTCTCTACAGACCCAATATATTGGGCTAATTACCTAGAGGCCCAATAAAAGCCCCTATAAGATGTCTCATGTGGTGATCACATGAGCTTTACTTCTCTTCTTCTAACACAGCTTATCAACATAGTATACCCATGTTGATGAGATAACATAACACCACATTGCAATAATAAAGGTAATGACTAACGATTTTGGCTTACATTTTCTTTTTCATCATCATTTGAGAATATTCATTCTCTCTATATAAACTCATATTCCCTAGATAGAAGAGACATATGATTTTCCTCATTTTCATGAGCAATTACTTTGCTGAATTTTAGAGTTACCGTAATCTAAACGCACAACATCCCTTTGCTGCTATCTATGCAAAAGCACCACCCGTTACTCTCCTTAAGCTATGATCTATATCAAAGCTACTTTGAACACCTTCACATTGCCATACTAAATTCCTTGAGATATGCAAATCTAGCTTTTAATCCACAACAGTTCAATAATTAATATTTATAGTTCTAAAAAAGTGTTTATACTATCAGGTATTACTTAATGTTAAAATAAAATAAAACAATTTGTGTCACGTTTTATGTATTAGTTTTAAGAATTTAATTGTGATATAATATTGTAACATCATTATATAATTACATTGTATTATATTAGTTGTTAAAAGAAATAGTTAAGATGTGATTGCTTAGCGTAGGGACATCATAACTACAAGGAGGTTGTTTGATTGCTTAAGAAACATTGATGTTAAAACTTGAGCATCGTAGATCATGCGGCCGCACGGCATGAAAAATAAATTTTCTGGTCCCGCTCTCCTTTTTCCTGTCTCTCTCCTCTCTCCTTCCCTCTCTTTCTATGAGGGTGCATTGGTCCGAGAGCTTTATATATTTGCTCGACGGCATGAGCAAGAATAAGAAGCTCTTCAACTTTTCTCAGATACAATGCAAGGAGGGACGAGAAAGATCATAGTTCCGGCTGCATAGTAGATTTGGTTCAGAAAGGGAAACGCCATTTCCAAAGCATGACCGAAGATTATGGTATAGTTTTGGCATGCAGTATCCCGACCCAAGGATTTAAATTGACGTGGAACAATGATCAAAATGTTTTTTTTGAACAAAAATTTTACGTAAATGTCACGCTCGGACACGCTTTATTTTTTTGATCAAAATGTTCGGATACGCTCGGACACGCGTCCGACACGCAGTCAACTTTTTGGGACACACGTTGACTAGTGGGACACGCGAATTTGACCGAATCCGACACGCAGTCAACGATGTGGACACGTTTTGATTTTTTTTTGTAAAATAAAAATAAAATTACAATTAAAAAAAATATTTAATAAAAATTAAAAACTACATAAGGACGAGTTCGAACACTGTTCTTCTCTTCGTCGTCGGACCTCAGTACTGGCTCCGGTGCTGTCACTGCGGTTGCTTCGCGAGTTCAGCTCTCGCCGGAATCTTCTTCAGCGTCGGTGGAAGAAGTGAAACGGCGTCGCTATTATGAAGGAAAACAGAGAAGAAGGGTCGGATCTGGCCATTGTGGAAGATCTCATCAGCAAAGAAAAGAACGCTTCTTCACGTTGAAGATGGAGAGAAAATGAAAGGGAAATGGAAGAGGAAAAGGTGGTGGTGTTCGGATCTGGTTTTGGGAAGTTGGAGAGAGAAAGGTACCGATAAATAAGTTGAAGAGAGGAAAAGATCTGGTTTTGGTTTTATTATTTTAGAAATCAAAGGTCAGCTAAAATATAAATATTCACTAGTTGCACGATAAATAATTATGGGTTTTCATTTTATCCTTTAACATAACACAACAAACTTTCCTACTCTCACAATATTTTGTGGGACCCACACTTTTTAAAACAAAAAAATAAATAAAAAATTATGGCACGCAAAATGAATCTCTATAACATTACACAATCACTTTTCCTACAACATAACTCTTATAAAACCCAATAATTATCCTGCACTATTTCCGAGAGCATAACGCTTAATTTAAAAAGAACAAGGGAGTTGTCTAAAAAAAAGGACTTTTTTAAAATGCATTTTTAATAAATATAAATATATATAGATATAATATTTATAATAAAAAATTTATAAATATTACCTTCTCCCAGCTAATAAAGATCATTAAACGTATTATTCAAATAATATTTTGTTGCGGGAACATGCATGAATTTTCGCTAAAACTTTAATAATTAAAAGTAATTCAATTCCTTAATACAAAAAATAAATAAATTAATTGAACTGTGTAATCATAAGTAAAATAATTTTTCTATTTTTCTACACTTTACACTCTTGGGATGTTCTATTTTTTTTTTATATTATGTTATGAAATTTGAATATTTGATTAGTATATGAGTTGTTATATGTATTAAATGTAAACTATATTATATATATTAAAAATATTATTTAATATCAAAACGTGTCCCAACGTTTCAGAATTTAGCATTTTTTAGAATTAACGTGTCGAGGTGTCGTGTCGTGTCGTGTCCCGTGTCCGTGTCCGTGTCCGTGTCCGTACATCATTGGTTTCCAGTGTTGCTATGTCTAATATTTACGCCAATAAAAGCAAGACATACGGTATAACAAGATGATTGTTACAATGTATTGGATATAATATTAATATATTATAAATATATGGGGTACGTGGATTTGTATATTATTATGTGAGGAATGTATTATAATATAATATAATTTTATCAGAAATATTAATAAATTTATCTATGTTTCAATTTTTAAAAATTCTTGAATAAGAAAAGTGTTAAATTTATTTGTTCTTTTACTAAAAAGCCTTTTGAATTTTAATGTATGAGAAGAATTTAAGAAACTTAATCTTAAGTTTTTTTTATTACTTATATATATTATACTTTGGGAAAAAGAAATATATAATTTCATGTTGTACATATAACAAGTGCCCACATATTTAAAATAAAAAAAGTGACAAAATATTTATTTTCTCCTAAAAACTCTTTTACTTTAGTCTCGAGCCGTCTTGATTAGGTCAAAAAAGAAAAATCAAGAGTACCCACATACATCATAATAGTTTGAAAGGTCTATCTATTCCCCTGTAGCCACTTTCAACGGGAAAACGTAATTGCAAGAACCATGATAATTTATTACCGTTCCAAACACAATAATTCTATATATTTCCACTTATTCAATTATTTCTATAAAATTGATGTGAATCTATTAAAAATGGGAAAAAAATATCTAATGTTACTTTAGATAACTTTATCTAATGTTCATCAAAACGACGTCGTTTTAAGGTTAAAAAATTTAAAAATTAGAATGATAAAGACTATTATAACCCTGAAATAAACTAAAATTACAAAAACACCATGATTTCCGCCCCAAAACGACGTCGTTTCGGTGAACATTAGATAAAGTTATCTAAAGTAACTTTAGAAAACACAAACCCATTAAAAATATAATAAAATATTCACATAACCTTACCCAATAATTTAATTTTTTTTTAAGAATTACTTGATATGTAAGAGGATTTTAACTGGTATTTTAAATTAGGGTCTTGGTGACCCGATAAGGACACCGGTTCGAGTGGTTATTTCGATCGGTCATGCACTTGACTCGGTTTAGATCGGCTGACCCTGCCGAGTCTCGGTGACTCAGTGGGTTAAACGAAACCCGGTTGATCCATTTTTTTTTATTTTTTTTTAAATATTGACTTTTTTTTAAGTTTACTTCTTATTCAAACAAAAGGAGGAAGTCTTAAGCAAGCTGAACTTGTATCATGAGTTGGAAACTGAAGGAAGATCCTAAAAGTAATTTTATTTTCCAACTTAAAAATGTAAAAGAAAAACAAAACTCTTGTTGGACTATGTATAATAACCAACTTTTTATCCCTCCCCAAGAGTGGATTCATTATATTCTTCCTATGATACCATTTAGTGTGACACCCTCTCCTGTGTGCACCCAAGGGAGTTGTCTGCTAAGCGGATTAGAGTCGTAACGAATTTTTAAATAAATACAGCACTGCGTTTTCGAGTTACTAATTAACTATTAGTTTGAAATCTGAGAGTTTACTGAAATCAGAGTGCAACTTTACAGAATGCATGGCTTGCTGAAATAATGGTTTTCTTGAAAAACCTTGCTGCCTTGTAAGGATCGTATAAATTCGAGTTCAACAACTTAAAAACATATTTTTAGATACAGGAAAATAGACATCCGGGGCTTTACGTGCATATAAAAATTGTTTCATTCGGAGGTGTCTAGCTCCCGAAACTGAACTCGCAAAGTACAAGACCAATCAGTGCAATGTTCCAAAACGACCTGACTTGCAAAAATCATAATAAATCGAGCTTTCAGAATTCCATTGTAAAGTTTATGTAATCTTAAACTAGACACCTGGGGCTTTAAGCACATATAAATTATGTGCCCTTAATTCTGGCCTAAAACTCGAACCTTCAAGCGCGTGTTAAGAGTAGTTTTTTTTATCAATTTTATTCTCACAATTCTGCCATGTCTAAACCGATTTGGCCACACAAGGTAAGTGTTTGGTGGTGAGACCTATTGTGACTATTAGCTAGTGTATGGAATTGTGTTGCTCACATGTGCCTTGGATTCGCATTCCGTTATATGTTATATGCATTCTGCCTATGAACTTGACATGATGGAAATTATGCTATGAGAAGTAATTATTATGCGACAATTTATAGGCTTTAGAGCCTGTTTGGCGTGATGTATAAGGCCTGATAGTATAAGCTTATACTATACGTTATGACATTTTCAGTTGTTTGGTGTGACCATCGTACAGTATAAGCTTATACAGCATGACCCCTTTATACATCAAAATGATGTATAACTTAATCCAGCCTAGGAGTGGTGGATTAGACATGATAAGGGATTAATGTATTAATATTGGTTGCAAGTACAATTCCCAAGAACTAATATATTATTTCAATATTTATATATTAAAATAATTTTTTTAATATATTAATTTTTAAAATATTAGAGGATATTATCTTATACAATATCATACCAAATGCTGGATAGTATTAAAATTTAATCAAGTCTTATACAATCAGGTCTTATACTATCAGGCCTTATCCTATACTATGCACCAAACATGCCCTTAATGTTTCTATAGTGAATGTAGATAAGTTATCTACATTCACATCCAAAACGACGTTGTTTTGGTTGAAAAATTAAAAAATTATAATGAGAAAGACTACTTTAATCCTGAAATAAATTATTATTACAAAAATACCTTGATTTCCATCTCAAAACGATGTCGATTTGAGTTCAATGTAAGTAACTTACCTACATTGACTGTAGAAAGAATGAACGCATTAATATATTCAATAATTGATTCTTCTCTTCCTATTAATACATTCTTTTCTTCTTATCATGAAAGCATCTGGATAATCGATATTGTTTTCATCGGTTATGCTTTTATATTTAGAGTAAATACCCTTTTTGGTCCTCATCAAATTTCATGAAGCCCGTTTTAGTCCCTAGCAAATAAAAAGGCTCATCGTGGTCCCTAAGAAATTCAAAATTGACCCATTTTAGTCCTTTTGAGGACTAATATGGGTCTTTTTTGAATTTGTGAGGGACCTCGATTTCAACTAAATGGGTCCATTTTGAATTTCCTTAAGGACCACGATGGGCCTTTTTATTTGCTAGGGACTAAAACGAGCTTCGTAAAATTTGCTGAGGATAAAAAAATGTATTTACTCTTATATTTATAAAGAAACATCCATAGTGCAGTACATTTTTATCTGACATTTGCTCTATATCGTCTCAAAGTGCATAAAATCTTGAAGATGATGATCTTATTTTGTCTCACTTTTTTACCAGTTTGTTATGGTCGTTGATTCGTGAGATCCAATTTTAACATGGACTTAGAAGAGATGATGGAATGTGCGAATTTTACCTAATTTAATTAATATTATTTTTATTTTTATAAATTTCAATTACCTTTATGAGAATTTGATTAAAAAATTGTATATTATGCAAACTGTTAAGATAAAAAAAAATATAATGTATTACTTTCTGTTGCATATAGAGATAACATTCTTCTTTTACTTATAGCGTTTATTATCATTCACTTTCTTCGTATTATTATAAGTAATATATATTTATATTTTTTTAATATGTGAATAGTATATCAGGTTGAATCCGATTAAATCAATGACACAGTGATCCAATTCCTGGACCGAGTCGATAACCGATCCGAGTTTTAAATTACTAATTTTAATCATAAATGAACAAATTAACAGTGAAAATATTATAACTTTCTATCATAATAATTATTCTCTTTATTATTATTATTAATAATAATTTATTATTATATGGTTAAAATCCTCTCATATAATATAATTAGGTCAAATAATGAGAAGATTCACTCCAATAAAAAAAAAGGTTATAGCTCAATTAATGAGGTGTGTAATGAACTGGGCTTAAAAAATTTGTTGTTGCAGGCGCAGACAAAAGATATCATCTTTCTTTCTTGAGAATTTGATAAAAAAATCTAGGTCGAATATCCTATAAAATTAGTAGTGTCGTGTTCAAACATACAATTAAATTCTGAGAAAGACCTTTTCTTATCCTACTCATTCTTAGTTGTATAACGTGACATGATTAGCATCCATTATTAATTAATTAATATTTACAAGGTTTGGTACCGAACACCAGTATGAACAACACGACATAGCATCCTGTAACATCTCTCTTCCTTTTTCTCTAAAAGTCTTGATCTTTTTTGTTATCCCAAACGACCCACCAACCCCTTCCTTCGCTTTCATTTTCCATTGCTGACAACGCAGGCCTGCCATAAAATCTATGCTCTTTATTTCTTATCCTTTCAATCATAAGCTATAAGGAATAGGAACAGGAACAGGAACAGGAACAAGGGTCAGGGACGCTGTTATGGCCAAACAAAGCTTGCAGTTTGCAAGACTGTGACATGCAGATTCCGTATTTGGGCATCATGGAAACTGGGAGATTTCGCTCTGTTTCGAAATTCGTATTATGCGCCATTTCTGGAGCTCTCACGGGATGTTTTGCCATTGGTATTTAACATGTTTTTTCATTCAATTTCATGGATAAACCTTTTTCTATGCTTCATCGTTTTGATTAGTGGGAAAGAAATAAATTGTGGGGTTTCAGCCTCTTAACGACTTTGGTTGCCCAAAAGTTAAGAGACTTTTATGATTAGATTTGCTTTTTGATTTCGGTGTAATTCACGAGACTTGCTGTTAGGTAGATACAAAATTTGGAAAAGAATCTGCTTTTTTTTTTTTTTTTTTTTTTTGATTTAATTTTGAAGCTTTAGAAGGTGGAATGAATTGTCTGTCTGCACAAATCAAATTTATGCTTGGTTTTTAACTCTGAACTATTAGATTTTTTTATTTCTTGAATTGATTGGAGTGAAGTGTATGGTTGGTTTGATAATTGTTGGCGTGGATGCTTTTGTTTATAAAAGTTGGAGAAATTTTAGGGGTGTTGAATATTCCAACTAGTCAGTAGCCACTTCTTTTAGTGTTGTGCATGCTGTGAGCTTTGCTTTTATTGGTCTCATGTCTTGTGTTTTTCAATTGCAGCTGGGGCCCTAACAGGGGCTATAGCTGGTGCTTTAGCAGCTAAGGCTACTAAGAGTAGTTTTCTCCGGGGAGTTTCATTGGGTGCCATTGCCGGGGCTATACTCTCAGTGGAGGTGTTGGAAGCTTCCCGTGCCTACTGGTGTATGGAGCAAACTGGCTCACGGGGCGCCTCATCTATGGTTGGTGGTCATTTGGTCCTTGATTTTCCTTGGTCTCTTTATGAGTAAAATGATTTTTAACTTGCAAAGTTATGAGGCACAACATGGTTGGTTACCTTTTAGTTTGAAATGGCTCTATATGGGTGATATTTATGCCTTGTACTTGTTTGTGCTTGCCTTTTCATTAAGTAGCATCTTAATAGTGTGTTTTCTGAGTGATATTCTTAATTCGTAGTTTTAAACTGATTTTCTGACATTTAAATCCAGGCAGATTTCATAGAGGAGCTTTTTCGCGGAAGGCTTGTGGAGGAATCACTTACACCTGCTATTTTAACTGCCTACAATTTGCAGGTAATTTTCCCCTCTCTCTCTCTCTCTCTCTCTCTCTCTCTCCCCCACACACTCATTTTCCTTTTAAAAGCAATGGCTCTATGTGTCCGGGGATGCATATAATAGTCTAGGTGCACCGTTGCAGTCTCTGAGTTGGCAATATCAAGAGCTGTTGGGTATGGCCAATTTGAGATGGGCAACTCACAGACTTATAACTCGTTACCAACTTTGCTTGTAAGGCCTTTGTTTTATATATTTTTCCTTTTCACTATGAAAACCGGCAAAATGTCAGCTTTCTGTTTCTCTTCCTCTTGGCTAGTTTTATGACCATCTTCTGTGGTTTGAATTGGAAATTAGCCTCCTCTTATTTCAATTCACCTCAAATTGATTTTTCTCAGCTTGATCAGCTTGTGGTGGTTGAACAACACTTTCATGTAACCTATATCATATTTGAAATCAGAAATTAAAGAAAGGGAAGTTTTAACTATTTAATTTGTAAAACAAAACAAAAAATATTTAGAATGCATTGAGTATTTATCCAAACAAATATAGCACATAGTAAGGCAACAACCATACAGATCTGACAGCCCAGAGCTTGTTTTGGGTAAGGAAATAATTTGTAAAGGTATATTAATCAAATCAGGATATGGTACCACAGTTGATTGTATCATCCTTTGAGAGATTTTGTTTCAATTTCTTCAAGTTAGGAGGGAGAGGAGACTAGGGCTAGGAATTTCTCAATCAACAATTTTTTTATGAGATATTAAATTTGTTTATTCCAAATTTGCAATCAATTTATTATTTGTGTTCTTGTTTGATTATTGGTCATTAGTTGGACAACGTCTACTTGGCTAGTCAATACAAATCCTATGATTACCAATCCAAGTTCTTGAAGACTCTTGAATAAGAAAATGAAACTACTGAATGTCAAGACCAACCCTTGGTTTTAGGAAATTTTAGAGATTGAAGCAGCCTAGAAAACTTGAAAGCTTTTAGGATTATTATTATTACAGAAGATAAGGGTTGGGTATGTGATCCTAATTATTTAAGAAGTTTTAGTGCAAAGAACTAATGAAGGAGTTCAAGGTAAGTCCTTTGTTATGTGGGAGATCGAATCAATTTGGCTAGTGGCTGGTGTTTGTCTTTGGCAACCTAGAGATCACTGCGGATTTTCTCTCTGCTCTCTTCCTTCACAATTTTCCATTCATACATAAGCTGTCCTCACCATGTGAGTTTCTCTTATCAGAATCCCTTGACCATAGAAATGTTCCCCTGAGTGAGTGAGGCTGGGTTATTTTTTCCAGGTCAATATTTTTATCAAGGCTTGATAATTGTCACAAAATGGAAGCCAACCTCGAAATGCAAGTGATAATTTATAAGGGACACACACATGTTGTTTTAATGCGTTGCTATCTGAGGTTGTACTAGTGCACCAGAGTTGTGTTTGCCAACTACATATGATGAGAGACGAAAGTCAAATTTACTGAAATGTAATGTAAAAATAAATAAATAAATACTTATATGTGAAAGTTGTTAACACAAAGGCCATATGTGGCTTATATAGCGGTATAGAACTGTCTCTTCACTAACTATTATCAGGTGCATCTGTAAGACTGTAACTAACTAGTCAGATGGCTCAGCCCACTAACCAAACTATGGTAATACCACTGCCACTTATGTTTCTTGTGCACAGGATTATATTTAATCTTTTTAATTTTTTTAACAATATATTTTATGTCCACTAACAATTGCGTTTGTATGTTAATGATTAGTGTGCCTCTTTTCTGGACTTTTTGTATTTCTATCCTGATTATTCTGTTTCACTATTGTTGATTTTTGTAACCCCATAAGCAGACCATTTTGATTTTGATTTTTATCGAGCCATGGTTTGTAAGATTTATTTATATGTAACTATAGTGAACTTTTATAAATCTTTGCTGTGTTGATTGTTTTGTTTTCATATATGGTATACTACTTACCGATTTTTACCGTTTAGAAGTCATCTGTAGATTCTGTACTGGGATTTCGTTACTTCATAGTCTGTAGGAGAATATCTGGTTTTTAACGTATGAACGTTTGTTTTAGTTTGAGCAGGTTGGCACGGCTAATACAGGCTATGATGAGATTCATGATGCTCATAGCTTAGTAGTATCCAGAGGATTGTCAGGGGATTCATTGAAGAAGTTACCCTACCATATGATCTTGAAGGACATGAAGACCGAGAATACTTGCTGTGTAGTATGTTTGCAGGTGATTATTCTTTTTGAGGATACGTGAATGTCCTAATCCATTTATTTATTTTTTTACTGCTGTGCGGAAATAATTACAAAGAACAAAGAATATTAATGAGGAGGCACTGGATATACTAAGATCAAACCATTACATGTTGAATCCCAGTGCTTATCAACATTATATGCCGAATTCACTAAAGGAGCCTTTGCTTGTTTTGCTTGTGATACTCATTAGATTTATTGACCACAAAGATGCATTTGCTTGCACTAATACTTGGCATGAAATTCTTCATTATCCCCGTTTGGATGGGACTGTTCTTGTAATGATGGTAACATTGAGAAGTGAAATTTACAGGACATTGAAGTGGGCGAAATTGCAAGAAGCTTACCTCGGTGTCACCATACATTTCACTTGATATGTGTGGACAAATGGCTTGTCAAGAATGATTCGTGTCCTGTCTGCAGACAGCATGTGTAGTTTGTTCCTTGGGCATTTTGAGATTATATTTATGGGCAGATGTATATGTTGTATTATTTGTTTCTTTATCTGCAAACTCTGATTACCATAAAGTGGGGAGGGGCACTTTGTACAGTTACGTCATTCTGTAATATAATTTGTTAGAGGATTTTAGTTATGAGCTTGTGTTAGTAATGCTAGTGCTTTGACCTAATTAATAGTATAATAGGTGTATTAGGTTATTGTATTTTTATATATCTCATATTGTTAGCCATCATTTTCTCTTAACATGGTGTCACTGTTTGCCGTGTGTCCATTAAATGAGTTCATGATGGAACTCTGTATATTCTTCCTCATTCGGTAAACCTTATTCTTTCTTAGTTTTGTGTTCATTTATATCCCGTCCACTGTTAAAAAGAGAGAGAGAGAGAGAGAGAGAAGCAAATGACCTTCAGTTTCCACGGCGATAACTACTATTGCAAGAAGCCTAGTTGGTTTTGGTGTGAAAGACATATACGCACTATCTAATACTTTAAAGCAAATTGGTCATTTTTCATCTTTCCTCCTCGATGCATTTACAGACACATTTGAATCCCGATTAGCATATAGAAGTGCAGAGGACAAGGAATGTCCTATTGACAGTGTTTGAAAAAGGATGAAACAAAATGGCATCAACCTTGAGAAAAAAAAACATACAATGATTTTAGCTGGTTTTCTTCAAACCTTGGTATTGGTAGAAAGCATAATTGCTTTACAATATGGGAGATCACAAATGAGAAGTTACAAGCTGATACAGAGTAGATGGCTTATCCTGAACTAAACTTGTTCTGATACACCAAAAGATTATACACAAACTACGGATCACAGCAGCAGAGGCTTGGACGGATCTCTTGAAGTTAATTCCAGAGAGGAGCAATTACCGGTGGTGACAGCAAGCCAGGCAACATAATAATGCCTAATAGGCCTGCTTATTCATGACTATTGTCTGCCAGGTTCGAACACAATAAAACCAGCAGTTAGAATTAGATTGAGATCATGCTAAGGACAATACCTTATATTTTGTGCGTATCCAACTAAGCATTTTTCACATGACCAAAAGTGAAATTTCTAATAGTATTGAGTATTTATCAGTCAGATACATGCGATAATTGAGTCCTGATGAGTATAACATTATTTTACTTGATTATTCATATACTGGATTACTGGCAGTCAATTTGATGTTCAAGAATTAACCACCCAATCAGAAAGATGATATGTCAAAATTTAATGGAGAAACCTTTATGGGGAAAGAATAGAGCTTACATTGGAGCGTAAAATGTATAGGACACCATGGAGGCATTTCAAACAGCAACTGGTTCAGGTCTTTTGCTGGTTTTGATTCCTTTTATAGCTACAAGGGAGTTGAAGCCATGACACTTATCAAAATCACATTGAAATTTGAATTTCCTTCAGCATATATATAACAAATCACACAATCAAAGGATTTTTTTTTTTTTCAGTACCTTCAGCATAATCTTTAGCTCCAAACACAGCGGAACCAGCAACCAATGCGTTGGCTCCAGCCTCAATCACCTGCCAAACAAGATTATACTAAAAATTGGATCTTACAACTCAAATGGATCCTATGGCTTTCTATGCCTTGAAGAAAGCATTCTAATCCAGTAAATAAACAAGTATGTACTTCCTCCTCATTATTTATTTGTAATTCCTTGTTCTAACCAAAAAAATGGAGCACTCAGCCAAATACAGTAGTATATTAGAACTCTTTGATATAAAGTTGAAGTGACATGACCAGATACGCATGCCAAATAGTTAGTTTCCCAACGTTTTATGTTGCAGTCATCCTCTCAAAAACGGCAATTATTGAGCACAATCAGATTATGTTCAGCATGCAGAAGACTTGCTACAGATCATTCTAAATTATAAATAGCTGTGTATACGGCACCTTGAAAGCATTTTTGGGACCAACTCCACCATCCACTTCAATCCATGGATTCACTCCCTGAAGAGAGAGAGAGAGGAAGTGAGAGAGAGAGAGAGAGAGAGAGTACGTTTAGAGATTAACCAAGACACAAAAGTTGGGGAAAAAATAATAGACACATCCACACAAATAATTGCAACATACCTTCTCCACACATAATCTTCTCAAATCAGAAATTTTCTTTACTTGACTCTCAATAAAACTTTGGCCACCAAAGCCGGGATTTACGGACATAATTAAGACCAAATCAACCACTGCCAACACCATAAAGAGTATAAGCTTTTATTTTCTAACTACCAAAACAACTTAAAACATGTAATTCAATAGACTTCATTACATTGTGAAAGAAGTTTTTTGCTCTCTTTTACTTCCTTAATGAGGAAAAAATCATGTCCATGTGTTTTTCATGAGTAGTTAAAATAAATAAAGAGCAAAAAAAATTAAATTTTACACTCGTCTACTTTGTTGATTATTTTTAGCACCAAAGTTTAAAAACAACAAATTAGCCCCATGACTTTCATCAACTTTCCCCTTGTAAAAAAAATTCCTCAAATCACATACACAAAATTTGGTAGTAAGCTAATTAGAAAACAGTGTAGAAATATATCATTACTAGTAGAATAAAAGTTTAAACTACTTAAAATATTTAACGAATAATCAGATGCTAATCTTTCAAATTTTGTTGACTTTCATTGAATATACAGTGGAGTCATATCTGAAAATATGAAAACAAAGTGTCATGCTTTAAACAACCACAAAAAGTCAAGTGTAAATCACCTGAAAAATAAAATGGTTTGTGTGAGTTCTAGATTTGAAAGTAAACTGTAAGTCTGTAACAACCTTAATCATTGAACTGACATGTCCATTATCGCTAACAACCTTTTACTTCTGTTTATAAAGTACAACATTTCCTTTTACAAATGTTGTCAGAACACAAACAGAGTTTCTTATTATGTCCCTACCATAGCTCAAAATATACTCTTCTATCCACACAAAAAAAAAGAAAAAAAAAAATTGGTAACTTTTTTGTTCTAAACCAAGCCCATAGAACGCTGGTATTGGTTCATGGCTAAAGCTTAGTAACCAAAGTCATAAATAGCATCATTACTGTTCTCATCACATAATGTAAAGAAATGGAGATGGAAAAAAGGGAATAAAAAAAGCAAAGGCTCACCATCAAGGACATATTCTATTGCACTGAGTGGGGTACCAGGGTTTAAGACAACTCCAGCTTTAGCTCCCAGGCTTTTCACCTAAATCAAGAGAACATAGACAGATATATTAAATTGAAAAACTAAAATTGAAATGAAAAACTTGTTTCCAAGGAATAATTTCTAGTGTCTAGTGGTCCTAGATGAACATTTTTTCCCACAGCATATAATAATCCATAGTTCTGAAGGAAAGAAACCAACTCTGCAACAGATACACTCAATAGTAAGGCCTCAAATTCCATGCTAAGGTGAAGAGGCAAGCATACCTCATTAGGAATAAGAAGTAGGCAACTTCACATAGATCTGGCCATCTACATAAAGAGACCAATGCCTTCTACTTCATTTTACCATAACCTAAATAATAGTATATTACTAACCCAAACCAACCAAGTAAAGAATAAAAAAGATGGATGTGAAATAATTTCATTTCGAGAATAAAATTGTGAGACCATGTAAAAGCAAAAGATTTTCTCCTCCTTTGTAAAAAGTTTTACAAAATGCCAATATCATTCTAGGGTCAATCCTGGTTTAAGAATTTCCAGATGTGACATAAGGCTTTATGCTTCTTCAATGGATTATAAACACTTTCCAAGCTCAAAAGCTTCATGAAAAAGAGCGCTTCAAGATTGCCAGTTTTAATATAATAATTTAGTCAGGCAAGTTAACGCTCAGACTATGATGATTACTGTGTCCTATTTCTTTAGCCAGTCCTCAGACTGTTTTTGTTAACACACTCATCAATGATGATTACTGTGTCCTTGACAACTAGACTCTGCAATAGTATGTGATAATTATACAATGGCTTAAATATATATTTGGCCCTTGTAAATTTACAAAAAGTTTTGATCAAGTTAGTTTTCAGGTATCAACTTTCCGTTGCAGTGATATTGGTCAGGAGTTAGATAATTCAGGAGGAAACCTTACTTGATTAATTGTACGATGTAAATGGATGGTGGAAGATTGTTCACAATGAATGCTGACTATGTCAGCCCCTGCCTTGATAAAATCTGGCACCCGTTCTTCAGGTTCTACAATCATCTACAGTGCTTTAACAAGAGTCAATAAAAGTATTATGATCCAATATCAGCTTAATTGAATATATGTATAAAGATGAATACCAGGTGTACATCCAAAGGAAGATCTGTCACAGGGCGCAATGCATCAACCACAAGAGGTCCAATTGTAATATTTGGAACAAAGCGACCATCCATCACATCAACATGAATCCAATCACAACCAGCCAACTCCACTGCTTTCACCTAGACAAGATAACACATGAACTCCAACAATCATGATTGCTGACAATCAGAAAACATGCTAATAGCATTTTGAAAACAAAAAGACAGATTTACTAGCAATTAGCAAACTTGATAAAATAGTAATGAATATATTATACATTATAAACAATTTGGACCTGTGTCCTTCCTGTGTTGTAGCAAAACAAAAAATTGGATACTGAGTTACTGATCAGAGAATGTATAGAATATTATAGAACCTGTTCTCCCAATTTCGCAAAGTTAGCAGAAAGAATAGATGGAGAAACAATGATATCGCTTTTTGAAAACTTGTCAACACGGGATGAAGCCTTCACCATGGTTGAAATTTTCCTCCTGAATTCACAAATAGCAAGTCACAAAAAGATATTTGAAGCAGAGTACATTATCTTTCAAATACCACAAGCCATATCTAAATACAAAAAAATATGAAATAATGAAAGAAATATTATTTGGATAGTGCCTTTTATAGCCTATACATGCACTTCATTCTGCATAAATATGTATTGATCTTATGAGACGTAGTTTCAGAATTCCACATAAATATAAAGGCACAAACAAATAGATGGAAATGTTGGCTAATAGAATGAAGATCTAAACCTAACATTTTTTCGCCTATGAATGAGATTCCCAAAACTCATGAACATTTGGCAATGGCCAATGTCAAATCTGGCAGCAAAGAAGCAGAGAAACAGAACAATCGAGGTCATAAAACAGTATAAAGAGTCGCTACTGTCCTCTCAAATGAAGATAACATGTACTCAAACCCCAGGATAAGAAGGTGACAATGCATGCATGGTGATATGAAGTAAATCATTTAACTTTTGAATTAGCTGACAACAAGCTCATCACCCCTCTGTCCTGCGGAACATAAATAAAGAGCCATAGGTGGAAGTTGAACAATCCTAGAATTATGAATGGTAGACTTAATTGTTCTTGTATATATACCCAAAAAAATTCATTTCCTTTTAATTTGAATAAATGGTAATGTCCTTACCCAGAACAAGTCATCTCCACCATCAACATTAAGGGGTTCCAGTCTTCCAGAATTGTGTGGATTTGAATTTCAATCCAAAACACAAGACTTCTAGAGTGAAATTCATTAAAATTTTCTGTTTTGGGCCTATTTTCCAAACAAAGTATATGCTTCCAAAGTAAACAGAATTCTACAAACTATGAATCGCAGAAGGAAGGAATACCTGGAGAAAGTGAGGGAACGGGGATGGAAAAGAGACGTTTTGTGAAGGTAGAGTCCATTGATCTGGAATTGGAGGGTTGATGAACACAAGGAAGTTGCAGCCATCTTTTGGCTTCAAAGTTTCGACCTTTTCTCTCTCTCTCTCTCTCTGTGCAATCCTTCCTTGAGAAGTGTATGGTGTGGTGCGAACTGTGAATAATGAAAAAGGGGAAACAAAATGTAGATAGGATGACACGTGTTTTGTTTGGTGGGTATGTGCTTATCAGCAATGGTTGGCGCTCTGCCTCTCCCGCACCATGTTATTTGTTGCTGACCTGTGAACACAACTCATAGGACAAGAGACAGAACCAGGGGCATTTTGGGTTTCTTGCCTACGTCCTACGTCGGAGTTGAATTCTAAGAATTGTCCAATCTAATGACTCTACTACACACGCCACCCTTTTTATTTTGCAAGTGCTTTGCCACTCCCTTTTGATCGTGAACCTACCAATTTTTTAAATAAATTCTTTCTTACCATGACAGACATATAATAAAGACTAAAATTACATGCCACTTAATTGGTTCTCAATTTGATTTTAATAGTCAAAGTTTCTTAGTCTAAACATTATATATAGAAGAGAAATGCCATTCTAAGTCAAACAAAACAAACTATAAAATAAATATTTTGTGTGCATTGCATAATTCACATTAGAGCTATAGAAATCTTATGTTGCAAGAAAAATAATGATTTTCCTGCAGACACAATAAAGACACGAGGCTAACATGTTTTTTTTCTCTTTTCTCATCTTATTTTCTGTCTCCTCTCCATTGTCTCTATAGGAAAGTTGAATTGTGTTCTGCAACATAAAATTTATATAATCCTTCGTATTATCACTTAACAATGTGTGTATTGACATCTTCCTTTAGAGTAATAAAAAATGGAATTTCATAAAAGGAAAGGGATAAAGCTCTTTGATTACTGATTGATGGCTCTATGGTTTTTCAGGAGACGTTCAAAGTATTACAAAACAAAATATATAAGTAGTTACTTACACTAGAAATCATACAATTTAATGAAGTTATGTAAAATTCGATATCAATGAAATAACTTGTAAAAGCTCGAACAATTATTAGTTAAATGTATCTAGCAATATTACAATAATAAGATTGGGACTTTGACTACTATGCCATGATTCCCAATACTATTTACCCGAACATCACGGGGTTGAAATTTTTTATCAAATTGCCATGGCTCTAAACTCGCTGACAGTTATAGCGAGTATGGTTTGCACGCGGCACATTTCCTTAGGCCACCAACAGGGACAAGTGGCAGACAAACATAAACTCGCTGTTAGTGGAAGCGACTACATTTTGACGTGTCAGAAAAGAACTCCTTGGCATTGATAGTGAGTTTATGTCTGTGTGCCACGTGTAAGAAACTCAGTAGTAGGCATAACAAGTTTAGTGCTATATAAACCCCCTCCCTACTTCCCCCCATCATACATCCCTGCATTCAGTAAAAAAAAAAATCTTCTCATTTCTCCCAATTCGTAACAACCCTATATTTTTGTCAGTACTATTTCTTCCTATTATTTTTTGGTTTTAATTTTTACAAAATGAGTGATAGATGTTTGTCATTGTGTACTAAAATGGGAGGAAATATTTTGGTCGTAATGGTCAGGTTTTTTAAGGAGATACAAAAAAGTTCAGCATGAGCCCCCAGTATACTTATAATGATTTAAAGAAGATAATATACAAGAAGTTGAGATTTCAACGGGTCAATCTCTATCTTAGTTGACTGCTAGATGTGCCTCGAGTAAAGAGTGTTGGGTTCCCGTTTAGATTGTTGAGGATGAAGATGTCGCGTTAGTAGTAGATGCATTTCAAAATGATTGAGACTTCACATTTATTAAATTGTATGTGAAAGTAGACTCTAGTGGATAATCTAGCAGTCAGCATTCCCTCGCTTCAATTCACTTATTGAGATTAATAGGGAGCCGCATTTTAATCTTGAAGATAGGTATATGTCACCCCCACCCCCACCAATGTCAATTGAAATGGTTCCTGCCTAAGATAAGTATGATCCGATGTGGCGTACGGACGGCTCTGAGGAAGAGGTGGATGAAGGTGTTGTTCAGGATAGTGACTAATCGGACACCAACGATGAGGGTGATTTTGATTTATTTCCGTCTACCGAGAATGTCATTTCATTCCTTCATCGAGCATTGTTGGAATGCATGACCCCCTAGATTATCATAATTGTTGGCTACTCAGTTGATTTATTCCTGCACATGCCTTCATATATAGGATATGAGAGTGTTTCATTTTGGTCTCAGACAAGTTATTATTCGCATATTAATTGGGCACACCTTGATCAGGAGTTGCCTGCAATAGAGGGGGCACAAATACCTAATTGGCTGATGGGTAAATAGTTGTATAAGGACCAGTTCTTTAAGTGCAAGAGAAATGTGCAGATGACAATAAAACAATTTTGTATGGAGAATTATCACACAATCATTGTAGCAAAAAGTGATACCATAAGATTGATCATGGTATGTGAAAATCACATGATGATTGTCTGTGGAGGGTGAGGGCACAAGTAAAAAAGGGGCACTAAAAGGGTTAACGGCAAATGGGTTAACAAACATACATGTGTTAACCAAACTCTTTTCGAAAATCACAAGCAGCTGGACTCTAATTTCATTTGTTATATGACCTCATAGTCGTTGTACGCTTAACCCAAAAACCTCAGCCTCAACCCACCCCCAACAAAATCTTGACGGGTATATGGCACAAGTCCTAGTATGTGCAAAATCAGGGCATGCAAATCATGTTATCCAGCCCGACCGAAGACAACTTCACCATCCGTAGGCAAATCCTACAGATAGAGTACATCTTCCATAGTGATTGTAACCTCACCCATCGGCATGTGAAAGGTCTGTGTCTCTAGGCGCCAACGCTCCACAAGCGTGGAAGCAAGCACATGGTCAATCTGAAACAATAAAGTGAGTGATGTTATCAAATAATAACAATTAAACCCTATAATCCTAAACAAACAATATGTGTACACTGACCTCGCGCAACGTGATAGAAACCAGTCTGCCTCAGATAAAGATGGATTTGCTCAAGTATATTGAGATGATCATGTGTGACTGTGCGCCTGACATTAATCAGGCGATCATCCACGCCATTCCACATGCATGTGGATATGTGTTTCTCCTATAATGTCAGGAAAGAGCGATCAATGGGACCCGATTAATTATGCTCCGTGGAAACCCTAGGGAGCTAGAAGGTGAGAAGTCATTATCCTCATGATCTGGTGAACTGGTAGGATAATCCATGAACCTATTTAAAAGAAAAATTAAATTATATAATAAGGCTATTTATAATTTTTAATTTAATTAAAAAATTAATATGTCAACTATCTTAAGGTTTAATCTCTACACTAACAAACATAACAAAAAAAAGGCATCTATCCTAGGTTTAATACCTACACTAATTGACATAACAAAAAACAAGCATATATCCTACGGTAAATTTAAATTTTGAAGAAAAAAAAAGCTTTTGACTTTTATTTTTTAAAAGAAAAAAATTTTAACTTAAATTTTTTTCTTAACTTTTTTGTGACTTCTATTTTTTGAAAAAAAATAAATGTATAAATACTCATATGTAACGAGAATAATATTGTCTTTGAAAAAAAAAAAATTGAAGGAATAAAAACATCCAAACGCACTTAGTATCTTTTTCTTACTATGCACATATTGCGAACAAAAAAGTTTATATACACTTCAGAAAGTCACCATCAATTGTGCTACTAATTTGGCTTTGCTGGTTGTTGCGCTCACGACAAGTGCACCAGTCGTACAAGTAATATAATGTTTAAGTAAGAAATCGTTCCCACGAGAATTATAATTCAATCACTAATTCACTATTTCAAGTTAAGTTGGACAATCGAATTTGAATTTGTAACTAGATTTGATTTGAAATTTAAAACATTAAAACTAATTAACAGCAAGAATCAAAACAAAAATTTAAAGATTTGATTACTTGATAGAAAATAAATGTACTAGGATTTCGATTTTCCTCAACCTCTCTATTATGTTTGAGTTCCTTCTTTAAGTTAATTGTCCTTAATATCAATTCAATCGATTCTTTCTAAGTTAATTAATGTTCAATTTCTTGTTACCCTAAACCTTATAATCTTGTAAGAACCCTAGTTCCCCGGTTATTCTCCAAGAAAATAAGCATTAAGTTCAAGAATCATAAGATTGCGCAAACATGCACCAACATTCCTATTGTCATACAATTACCTAGAATCAATCTACAAGATTCAAGCTCATAGAAAGCATTAAGAGAAGACAATTTCATCCATGATAAAAAGGAAAATCAACATTAAGAATTATTCAAAACATAACAGAATAATTGAGTTCCATCTAACCCTAACTACTATGAAAACTTAGCCGGACATGGTGAAATCAAGAAAGAAAGAAAATAGAAAAGCTTATCCAAACTCCATAGTTGAATGGTGAATCTTCAATATCTCCAGTGCAAGCTTGATTCCGATCTGTCTCCACCTCTCACGAACATGAACTGGTGTTTTCTCCACTTTTCCTCTGCCTCCAAGTGCCAAGAATTGTCAAAGAATATGAAAAAGTGTAATTCTGCCCCAAATTATGTTTTATGGGCAAAGAATTCGTGCCCTAAATGGATAATTCAAGTGGGCCTAAGTTGGTTCATTCGGGGCGCTTAAGCCCCCATTTGGGCGCTTAAGCCCCCATTTGGGTGCTTAAGCCTTGAAGATTATGCATGAAACTTTATGTGGCGCGTTGATGGGCGCTTAAGCGCCACTTCGAATCAGGATTTTTTCCTTAGTTCGCGCTTAAGCCTGAATTTGGGGGATTAACCGCTCTCAGACAATGGCTATTTGCTCATAAATGGAATTTTTGAGGGCTTAAGCCTCCTCTTCAAGAACTTGGTTTTCTTCATTTTTCTTCAGTTGAGATCTTCTTATCGTTGGTTCTTGATCTCAATCCTTCCAAATGTCACATTTGCTTCCGTTTATCATCAATTACCTTTAAAATAAACAAATATCAATTATTTAATTCCTAATTCACAAAGTTCATGTTTTTCAATAAACCCTAATTTTCACTCATTTAACTTGATTTTTCATGTAATTTTAGTCTATAAAACAAGATAAAGTAAAAGTTTATTTCTGGTTAGAGA